AGACGGTTAGTCGCTGAAATGGAATAGGGATCAAGTTAGACCAACCGATAACGCTCCAAAGCTCGGTGTCATCGTGGACATGACGAGGATCCAAGTTGTCACGCAAAGTGCCTTCAAACATGGCGGGGTCTTGAGGGATGATAGCGAGACGTCCACGAAGATCAGTCAACCCAATTGTAGACACATCAAGCCCATCAATACTAAAATTTTGGTTAGCCTAAAGAGCAGATACATAAGGCGAGAGTGATATCTTCTTACCTGATGTTTCCTTCAACACCCTCGATGATTCGGAAGAGAGCCAGCGTGAGCGAACTCTTTCCAGCACCCGTTCGGCCAACGACACCGATCTTCTCCTTGGGCTTGATGTTGAGACTAACGTCCTTGAGCACGAGGTCAAGTCCAGGGCGATAGCGAGTGCTGTAGTTATTGAACTCCACTGCACCTTGAGCCGGCCAGCCGATGGCAGGTCGACGCTTGAAGATCACCTCAGGTGCCTCGCTCGGGAGATTGGCGTACTCGAGAACTCGCTCAACGGATACGATGTTGGTCTCAACCTCGACAGTCTGGCGGACAATCCAGTTCAAAGATTGCGTGATCTGGAGAGCATATGACATGGCCAAACCGACCATGCCTGCCGAAATCTTGGAGCCAGTGGCAACCGCCATAATAGCCAATCCAGCAGATGCAAGAATAATGATTGAACCAATGAACTCAAGTCGAACGGCGAGCCAGCGGTTGGCACTGATCGACGGGAAGTAAGCCCGGAGATTAGCATCCATACGCCATTCGTTCTCAAGGGCGAACCGATTCTCCTGTCGGTAGGCACGGATGGTGGAGATGCCACCCAAAGATTCCTGGAAGTGAGCGTAGATCGGGCTTCGGGTGACACTATCCAGACGCTTCAGCTCGCGGGAGGTACTCAGATAGTACTTCTGGTAGCTAAGGTAGACATAGCCCAAAGGAATGATGAATACCATGAAGGCCGGTGTGGATGCCGAAATGACAATCATAGTAAATATCGCACGGGCAGAGTTTGCGAACAACATGTTGAAAGTGCGAGCTAGTACCTCATCAACTCTGTAAATGTCACTAGAGAAGCGGTTCAGGATGCGGCCAGATGGTGTGGTTTCGAAGAAGCTCATGGGGGAGCGGAAGATAGCAAATGCCATCCGCTCATGAAGTTTTCGAGATGCTTCGATAGAGCAGAAGATCCACAGGATCAAGTTCTGCACAATAACTAAGAGAGATGAACCCAGGCCAAGCGCCAAGTAGACACCAATGAACTTGCCAACATTGTCATTGGTTCTATGGGCTTCGTTCCACTCAGTCCAGCGCTTCAACCAGAAGTTACCCACCACTTGAGCAGTCTGAGCAGCCATCATGGCAAGTAAATAAACCACGACTGCCACGACATTGCTATCCTTTGCATATTGACGGTAAACACCCCATTTCACTTTGCCTTGCTCTGAAACTTCTTGGGTCTGCTTGCTCTTGAGAACGTTCTCCTCGTCTCCCAACTTGCGCCGGGGACCTTGCCAGCTCACAGTGCTTGCACGGCGCAAGGTGACGGTACTGGTCCGTCTACGGGCCTCGCCGCCGCCTCCTCCCCTGATGGGAACAAGGTCACCTAGCTGTTCAGCCTCCTCGCTGTCCGATGCGCCTCCGTTCTGGATGATGGTGGTTGTGACTGAGCTTTCTGGGCTAGCAAGGTCTTCAGAGCCACTAATAGTGTCCTCGTCGTCTGAGTCAACCATGGTAGACCGAACGAGGCTGAAGATCTCCCCCTTCATGGCCATCAGTTGTTCATAAGTTCCTTTTTCAATGATGGTCTTGTCCCGCAGCAGGCCAATGAAGTCAGCCTCCTTGAGAACAGTGATTGCGTTTGTTGCAAGAATTCTGGTCTTGCCACTGAGGAGGCCAGTTTTGCCAAGCACTCGGTTGATGATGTGACGTCCAACATGCTGATCAACTGCCGAGAGAATATCATCCAGAAGATAGATATCAGCACGAGCATAGACAGCTCTGGCAAGTGTCAAACGTGCCTTTTGTCCACCTGAAAGGGAAATGCCACGTTCTCCGACTTCGGTCTGGTCGCCATCAGGCAAGTTCTTGAAGTCATCGAGCAAAGCACAAGCTTCAACGGTGAGATCATAGAATGAGGGGTCCCATCGGTGTCCAAAGACAATGTTTTCTCGGACACTAGCATTCATGACCCACGGCGCTTGGGCGACGTACGCGATCCGACCACGCACGACCACTTCTCCCTGGTTCTTCCACAAGTCACCCAGCAATGATTGGAGCAAAGAAGATTTTCCAGCGCCAACTCGGCCAACAATACAGCTGAGCTCTCCCTTGCGTGCACTGAGATCGATGTTTTCCAGCGCAGTCTCACCAGAATGACGGTTCCAGGTAAACGAGGCATCGCGAACTCGGACAGACTCGTCACCGGGATGCGCCACGGGATCTTGGAAGACAACAGCATCAGTCTGCAGCTCCTCTGCGGTGAAATATTCTATCAATCGCTTCGCGGCCACGGAAGATTCGATAATGGATGTAATGACCATAGGCAAGATAGAAAGTGGGAATGTGAGCAAGTTGAACAATGTCAAGGCAGGGAACACAATCTCAGTGGTCAAAGGTTTATCATTAGTCAACACAAAGACGGTGAATGTGGAGCAGGACACAAGGAAAGGGGTAGACTGCCAGGTAAAGTTGGCAATGGATTGAGTGGCTCCAATTTTCCGGAGCGTGTTGAGCTCGAGATCATTTCTGATATGGCTAAGTTTGTTCATGAAGGCCGTATTCCAGGCATAGAGCTTGATACTCTTGATATTGTTTAGAATCTCAGTCATCAATCGAGTCCTCGAGTCCTTGTTCTTCATTTGGATGATCTGCAGCCTCTTCATCATCCGAGCAATGACACCATTCAGAGGAATCATAAGAATCATAACTCCGATACCAGCAAACATGCTCGCCCCGACAAGCTGGTAAAGGGAGAGCATACACAGGGTGATTTGGAAAGGTGCAGAGATAAGCTGAGTGCCGAACTGGGTCAGATCTGCAAGGCGCTGCTGATCAACTGCCATGTGGTTGACGATGTCACCGGTCGTCTTTGCCGAGCGCCCTTCGTTTGATAGCTTCAGGGACTTGGCATAAATCATAGCAGTCAGGGCTGATTTGACTCTCATGCCAGTGTCGAAAGCACGCTGGAAATATTGATGGAGGAAACTGGTCTGGACAACAGAAACAGCAAACATGGACAAGGCGATAGCGACACCCCTAATGATGGGGTCCGGATCCGGGCCCCCGTATGATTTAATGAAGGCAATGAGAAGTCGTAAGAGTTGCGGCTGCACAAAGGCAAGTACGTCACTTCCGGATTTGATTATCGCACCACGCATATAGGGGGCACCGAAAGCCTTGAAAAGCGCTATCCATAGAGAAGGCTTCTTTTTTTCAAGCTGTTCATCCCATGCCTCCTTCAGGGCATTGCCCGTGGCTCGGGTCGTATCGCGACTGCGGAGATTCCAGAGGTCATCTTGGGTCAAGTAGTTCTTGTATCCATATTTCATCATCGGAGTCATCCAGCCGAAGGTGAGAACAGAGAAGACATCGGCATAATTGTAGGGACACTCATCCTCGTCTCCCAGCGCATCGTAAGCGCTTTGCTTCTTGGGCACGAAATATTCCAGCACAAATTCAAAGATTGCTAGTCCCAAGCTAACATTGAAGCAGACAAAGTAAGGGAGTTGGTCGATGTGTTGCTTCCGCGCAATCAGGGACCGGAGTTTGACCGCATAGGCGATGATGAAGAAGAGCCAGTAAAATAGGACAACCCCATTAGGCTGTCTACTGCGCCAGTGTTCGAAGTACTGTACTGAAGTTATCACACCCAGCGAAATGATCGTTAGGACCGAGGACCAGAAGCGAAAATCGGCCCAAAATCGTTTGGGGTCTGATTCGACTTGGATCGCAGCTTGAAGAGCGGTGACGACGATGAGAGCGGCGAGAACGGCCTGTGATGAGCAAAATTCCAGTCAGTATATATGGCGTCTGTGAGTGCGCAAGGGTGCCCGGTATGTACTAACCAACTTGGTGTAGAAATGCCAATTCTTTGATACGGGCTGCGGAATCCGCTTCCTCAGTAACAACCACAGGGCAGCGAAACCGCTCAGTGTACCCCAGACAGCCACTAGTGCCACAACCACGTCAAGGAAGCATGGCGTCAGATCGAATCTCGATGAGCTGAGAGGGCCCCAGCCCTCGCTATCTGTGCAGAAAGGCTGTCGCCGGGAATCAAGTGCCGATCCAAGGGAATGCAAGAGGTGCCCCGGGCGGGACGCCTCTAGGACCACCTGGGATTGGCCATCCAGCATTTTTATAAGCGACTTCGTCCCAGTATACCCTTTCTGTGCACAAGCAAGAAAAGATACAAAGTTGGAGAACCTCAAAAGGAAGAACGGTAGGTATTGGTGTAAGAGCTAGGCTGCTGACTAAAAGCAAGAACTGAACTCCACTTTTTACAATGGGGAAAACCCGAGGTCGGGGCTACTTACCGCGCTCAGTATGAAAGAAGTCGGACTTACTACACCGTACATGTACACATGGAGGTAGGGGTCTCTGGAGTTCTTGCATGAAACTTGCGTAACATAAATTTAACAAAATTAACATATTAACTAGATCTAAACATGCCAAGTACAAAATTTCTCCAACTCTCACGTGATCTGAAACGACGTAATCCTCGGGGATAAGCCCGCACTAAGACCGATGCGGCTATTTCCAAGATTTGGCTTATCAATAACATTCCACTTCCCAAAGATTGGAAGGTTAGTGGCTTCTAGAACTATTTATAATGGGTGTTAAGGGGGACATTGATGTACTCATTTTACATATGTACTTGTACAACGTATGACACTTTCATAGCCTTTTAACTCTATAACTAAATTTCAAGTCATCGTAACTATATATTTCTTAGTTGATGCTATCTGTAAAACTTCATTTCATGAATTTTCCCTCATGAATCCTTCAATGACCTTCGTTAATTCTTCACTTCCCGTGATACGTGCATACTCAGCTGCGCTACCCCAGCTCCCCTTCATATGTGGATCTGCTCCATGCTCTAACAACCACTTGACTCGCTCAACTGCGCCTGCCATCACCGCATACACAATTGCGTACTGAGCGACCATGTGCCGTGACTCTTCTCTCTGATTAACATCAGCCCCACGCTCAACCAATAGTGCCATTACTGGAATCCTGCTAGCATCAAATTCCCGACTAGGTACCACACGACCAGCATGTGGATTCTTGCCGGGAGGACAAGCCCCAGCGGCATAGTGTAGTGGTACACCGTTTTGGATCTTAGCTCCTGCATCTAGAATCATACGCACAGCCTCAACCCCTCCATGGACTGCTGCTGCCTCGAGTGCGTCGCACGAGGAAGTATCTGGCCCACCACACCTATCATGGCTGGGTTGCTGTGCCCCGAGGTTGGGATTGGCTCCATGGTCCAGGAACCAACGAAGAAGAGGGAGATTCTTAATAGTCCGAGGGAGGATGGTATTACCATAATAACCTGGGGTGTTGGGAGTCCATCCATGCTGGGTAAAGAGTTCAAAGAGTGCAATTTGTCGTTCCAAAGGTGCAAATAAGATAATACTTGGAGTTTCGCGAACAATTGGTGCACCACTATCGAGGAGATAACGAGCAACCTCAATATTGCCAGAGCGTAAGGCGCGTGTGAGACCATGGTGAAGAAAAGCGGGCGTGAGAGTCTCGGTTGAGACAATGGACTGAATCACGGAAAGGGGGCCGCGCAGGCAGGCAGATTCGAAGGACCCAAAGAAGGCGGGAACTTCACCAACAGACTTCGGATTTTCGCCGATGAAGGTAATGTCAGCCGGCTCTAGTATGGGAAGGTCATCATATTTTGACCCCATTGTCCGAGCTTGCATTTGCTGCCTTGCACTGCTGCTGGTGGCGCTCGCCCGTTGCTTAGCAGCGATTATCTGCATTTGATGTCGGCGTGCATTTAGCATTAGCTGCTGCTGCTGCTGCTGCTGCTGTGAAGACATGATGCCCACAGCAATTGTAAAATTCGTCTTCTATATATTGGATTTTGTCCAAGTTGAGAGGCTGACCAGGGGATGGGTCTTGTGATGCCAGTCATGTGACAGCCTAAATAAACGGTTGTATCTGAATATGTGCAGGCCAATCAATGATCTAGGCCTTCATTAAGGTGAGAAATGAGGATCAGCATCAATTCATTATCTATTATTCGATCTAATTCACTTGATCTGACGACACAAATCCGGAGTCGGTCGTGCTGAAGGTTAGTATCTTTTTGTTAGCTCTATTCCACTCATTTGAACTCATCTTTGGGATCAAAATCTTACCAGGAAGACAGGGTTGTAATTAGAGACTCCTTCATTCCTGACTTTAATGGCATACTTTTATCATCCGAAAAGAAAAAGAAATACATGTACTCAAAATGAAGAGTCTGTCGGATTTTTAATGATAGCAAGTGGTGTTTATAGCAATGTCCACAATATTATTGTATCTAAGCCCAAGCAAACAAGCTTTGTTGTAATTGTCTCTAGCAGTTCTTTCAACGTGATAGACTATATAATTATTACTTTGAATATTAGTGACACTATGAGCACACCCTGCCATTTCCCTTCACAAGCCTTCCTGTGCTGTTTCTTCTGTCAGGAACAAAGGTATCCAATGCAAAAGTTGCATTACTCGAACAGTAAGAGCAACACCATTGGTTCATTATCGAGATATTGTCACAATACCAACACTGGGAATATTACTTCCACCAGTGGCAAGCAATATTCGAAGCTCCAAAGAGGCATTGAAGTTACCTGCTATATCTCCCCACATTGCAATCTCCGACTCTAGTCAGATTAGAGATCCTCGACCCAGCCAAAGGCCCATAAAGCGAGATTGAAGATCTCATATCTGATGTGGATGGTTCTTCGTCGTCCTCGGAATGTGGTTCGGAGAGAAAGAGAGGATTGATTTGCTTAGAAATATCATAAGAACATCGTCCTGTTTCGATGAGATATTGGAGTTCGATCCTTATGGCATCAACAAGTATGATTTCGAAGCCATTAACGATATCCTCGACGATTTCATTGGTAACAATTCCACTATTTCTACAACATGCCCCCCCTCAACTACTGCTATCACGAATGGATACTCTGCCACCACTATTCTTCCAGCCGAGAGATGCGGGATCGTTACGAGTACTGGAGTCGCAAGTCAAACACAGCCTGCCTCCAAGGCCGGTATCTCCACTGGGCAAGATAAAAAAATGATGATCAGTTCATTAGTTGAATACTCTGCCCAGGACGTTTTTTCTCCTTACGACAGCTATGTTAAGAGCTTGACACCAATTTGGATTGATCAGCTTGGATTAGTGTCTGCACAGTGTTTTAACTATCCCTCGTTTGGCCACTCCGCTATAGGGGTGAAAACCATGTACGGATGCACAGCAGTGATCATAGCATCCGAGAAGGGAGTGTACCTTTCACACATCTGGGAGAGCCCCGTGTTTGTTGACGAGGCTTTCAATACAACTGATGACAGGTTTTTCACGATAACTGCGTTTAATTCTCTCCGGGATGGAACCATATATGCACAAAGTGTAACTGATTTAATTGGAACCGACCATAACCCTGGCATTCTGAATGCAATCTACGCACCCAAAGTCTTCGTCCTCACACCCTTCACCACAGATTGGGATCGACGGAACTGTGGAATTTCCACCACACTCAGATATCAAAAGCGTGCTGAGGAGCTCGCACAAAAGATAGCAGGCATTGTTCCTGGTTCCGGTGGAAATGGTATTATCCTCGGTTATACACGAACAAGTCGGCAAGCATCGAGTCAGGAACCAGGCATTGCAGGAAGAGCTATTTTGGAGATTGACCCTGTTTACACTCGGATCACTACACCCTACGACCCAAAATCTGCGGGCCTCCAAATTGGCCGTTGGCGTCTGTGGGTAGAGGATCAACTGATTACTTACCAAGACTTCTGGCTTCCTGATATTACAGCTCCTGGGACACTTCCCGACGGGACACTGGCTAACGAGACGTTGGTTGCGCCAGCTAGCACAAGAGCCGCCTGCTATAGTTGATATTTTTCGTAGATTTCAATGCCTAGATTATCACGTCATTGGCTCTCTAATTTCAGTCGGCATTCCATAATGCATCTTGAGGTCCCTGTTTTAGACTCAATACCGGAACTAGGAACATCTCAATTGAAATTACGTCCTCCATAGGTTACTGACATTTATCTAGATCATATAAAATAATCAATGAGTACGATATGGGTAGGCTATTATACAACCCCTGAAGTAGACATTGTATAGATATAGTCAAACAATGCAAATACCATGACGTCACCGACACATCTTATTCCAAATCACGTGAAGAGATCAGGTACAAGGAAATAATATACAACGTAGAGAGAAATGAGGCTAAATAAAAGAAGTAATGATACGAAGTTCTAAAAAGACATCAAGTAATACCGAAAGCACAGAAAAATTAAGTCCATAGGTGTTATTTCCTAATCGGGAGTCCGACTCTGATATTTGCGAGCACAGCCCGCAAGCCCAGAATTACTTGTTGAAAAAGAACATTCTCGTGGTCTTAAAGGAGGCTGAGCAAAGCCTCATATTATGACTCAGGCCAATTGCAGATTTAATGTCTAGACATAAATCTGACAGCGAAGCGCAGAGTTAACAGCCCACATAAGTGCCTGCATTACTTTTAGGCGGTAAGAGCCAACTTATCAGCGTCATTGGAGGGGCACCACGATCACATACACATTCTTCGCCCAGCCCATCATGGTCGACACGACTCAAATGGAGGAGCTTTTGAAAAGGCCTCTCTATGGTACGCCTCCGAATTCCCATATGGTTATTGATCCATCCCGCTGATCTTTCTAGTGTACGATCTGCCGCCAGAACTTCTTGCAAGCTTAACGGCCAAGACCACAAGCCAACCTGTCGCCGAAGAAGAACCAGGGCCCTCTCCGGCAGACCTCGAACTAGCAGCGCAAGACTCCGCGATCGCAACCTCCAACCTATGCTCCCTCTGTAAGGTCTCTTATAGCAATGTACAGGAACAGCGCAGCCATGTCCGCTCGGACCATCACCGGTACAACATCAAAGCCCAGCTGCGCGGGAATGCGCCTCTGGAGGAAGCCGAATTTGCGAAAGCGATCGGAGAGCTAGATGAGTCTATATCCGGTTCTGAATCAGAGGAGTCAGAGGAGGAAGATGCAGAAGGAGCCGCGGGAACAACGCTGTCCGCCCTGCTGAAAAAGCAAGCCAAGCTGTCCCACCCGAATGAGGACCCGGAAATGAGCGAGACACCGATGGCTCCGAAGCACCCCATATTCTGGTTGTCTAGCTCGGGATTGCCATCAAACAAGTCTCTAGGTGTCTACAGGGCTATTTTCTCCAATGCCGAGCAGGACGACCCCGCTCACCTGGTCGATGCTCTGCGACGAAAGCAGCTTGCGCCAATCAAAGCGCGCACCAACAAGGCGAGTAATGTGCCGGAACCTGCTGCTTCGGGTCCGCACATTTTTATGTGCATGATCGGCGGTGGCCACTTCGCGGCTATGTTGGTTTCTCTAGCACCGGAGATCCACCGAAAGCAAGGAGGAGTGGAAGACAGGCAGGCTCGGGTCATTGCGCACAAAACTTTCCATCGATACACAACGCGACGAAAGCAGGGTGGCTCACAGTCTGCTAGTGATGCGTCGCGTGGTGCTGCACATTCGGCTGGTTCAAGTCTTCGCCGTTACAATGAGGCTGCTCTTGAGAAGGATATTAGAGAAGTGTTGTCAGATTGGCGCGAGATGATCGACACAGCTGAGCTGTTGTTTGTCCGAGCTACGGGAAAGGCAAATCGGAAGACTCTTTTCGGTCAATATGACGGACAAGTCCTTAGGCATAACGACCCTCGAATTCGAGGGTTCCCCTTCAATACTCGCCGCGCGACTCAAGGAGAGCTCATGCGGTCCTTCAAGGAATTGACCCGATTGAAGGTCAGTGAGGTGGACCAAGCCGCACTCGCCGCGGCTGAAGCCAAGCGGCGAGAGGAGGAATCAAAACCATCTACGCCCGTCCCAAAACCACAACCACAGAAGCCGAAGCTCTCAAAAGAAGAGGAAGCTGCCTTGTTGCATACATCCCAAATGCAGGCCCTTATTCGCCGCTCAAAAGTTCCCGCCCTTATGTCCTATATATCAAACAACTCCATACCCCCATCTTTCACATTTACGCCAGCCGACACGCCACAGAACTTCCGATGCCCCACACCTCTCCATCTTGCTGCAAATCTTGATGTACCAGCCGTAGTCACAGCCCTCCTCACAAAAGCCGGGTCTGATCCAACAGCAGTCAACAACGAAGGCAGAACTCCCTTCGAACTTACCGGTGACCGAGCCACGCGCGACGCCTTCCGCATTGCCCGCCACGATCTCGGCGAGTCAAAATGGGACTGGGAAGCAGCGAAGGTTCCATCAGCGGTCTCTAAAGCCGATGCCGAAAGCCGAGCTGAGAAAGAACGGAAAATCGCCGATGAGGAAGAATCCGCCCGGCGCAAGGCCAGCTTAGATCGCCTGAAACGGGAGGAGGCCCAGAAGGCAGCACAGCCGAGGACGACTAAATCCGGTGGTCGTACTGTGGGCGCTGTTGAGAAGTCTTTCGCCGAAAGGAGAGATGAGGAGGCTAGAGGCATGACGCCTGAGATGAGGATGCGGTTGGAAAGAGAGCGTAGAGCGAGGGCTGCGGAAGAGCGCTTCCGGAGAATGCAAGGTCAATGAAGCTTTTTTGTATACCCTTTGAACATTGAAGTTTAGAAGGCGGACTGTCGCCATGAATATTCCATTCCTAAGTAGATATTGGTTTTGGTTTTGGTTTTGCCATGGAGCGAAGAAAATAGTATTTCATCTTGAGCATCTCTTTCTCTTCCTTGTTAGTCTGGCAGTAACTCGGTTGTAGCCAAAGCCATTATTAGTATCAATGAGCCTAGAACCTTCCGACTCCGAGGCAAGCATGAAACAGTATAAAAAAAATTGGAGAGCTAAGAACACCAGTATCATCGGGGATAATCCTCGGCAAAGCGAGATACTCCATCGTCAATGATCATCACTCAATAGTTCAGGTATATATGGCCTACGACCCACAGAGGGACAGGAGGGGGCAAGGGAAGGCAACAATAGCTTGTACATGGGCCACCCGGATAAGGAGAGGAGAGGCTTCCCACCACCCTTTGGACGCTATGGAGCTAGGGTCCAGTGTGGTGAGCCCACTTCTGTTTGGATAACCTGTTTATTTTTAACCCTTTGTCTCGGGTAGGGTTGGTACCTATAGTCAGTGGAAAGGATAGCGGGCCCTTATCGTGTGACTGTGAGAGTAAGACAGGGTGATAGGAAAAAGGGAGACACTCGATACAGAAATAGGGTGTGCTGATCAGTAGTGAATCTGGAGAGATGGTCTCACTTTCAGGCCAATGGGTGGTCGAGCGAGGATCGGTGTACACATGACTTCGAGTAAATGACCTCACTTTGCAGAGTGATAGACCCCGAGTGCTGTGAGATAGCCTTTTCTTTGACAGCCATTGAAATGCCAGTGAACCGAATCAATGGTACATCAAGCATAATTCTAAATGCCCTCTTTTAGAAGGGTTCAGATATCTCTCTGGAGCGAGGCAAAGCCCCTAGACCCAGACACAACTTCTTGTCAGCTACAATTGTAATCTCAGCAAAAAGAAAGAAAAGCAATAGTGCAGCCCGGACCTTAGAGGGGTGATCGTCAGCAAAATCACATATATTTAGCCCAGAAAGTAAGACAGGGAGAGACTAACGGGGCTATATCGAGTGATGTCTGAGATGATGACGCCGTAAAGGTAAACCACTGAAACCTTACGAGTATCTTGTCCTATGAACCTGAAGGCGAAGCATAGAGCAAGTACAGTCCCAGCCACATTAGAGCAAAATGAGGTCAAAAGAATGCGGAGATGATCGACATTAGGGCCCGTGGGAAGGGGCATATGTCTTGCATTAGTGCCACAGGGTCTTGTAGGGTGGACCTTGAAAGAGGCTTAGATGCCATACATGAATAGCGTCGAGAGGATAATCTTGGAAATTAGGACCTTTCATCCAGTCTAGATTGTGTGTTTATTGCGCTGTAATCTGCGATTTATTGTCTGTGCCCTAAGTTACTGAATCTACTCTGGGTACTCCGTAGGAGGAATTCTATCGTTCCATTGCTCGGGCTATCCCTTGCTTGAGATTGGATTTTGATCAGTGGCTGGGAGCACGAGTCTTGGAACGGTGGCTAATGAGTACGGATTACTCCGAGGTGCTCCACTCGGTATCGTAGACAGGACTAGGTCCCTTTGGATAGTCATGGGTCTGGTAGTGCTGTTAGCCCTTCTGGTTAAACCGGGTTCAAGGATCAAATACCCCTTTTCGATTGGTACGAATGAAGGGTATAAACCACTTCTTTGTATATCATGAGAGTAAATGAGTCTATGTATTATGGATATGTAGAAATGTTTGACGGGCCGCAGTGTGCAGCCAATCTGCACCCCACAATGGGTATAGACGGAACGCTCTGCGAGATAATGCAGCCCGTATCTTTGCACGAGTTGGCTTGACTCCCTGCAAGGAGGAACAAGGAGTTTCTTACAATACAGTATAGAAAATCCCCCGAGTGGGATGATCCAGGGCACATGGCATTCTGAGCATTGACCTAGTGCTTTATTCATTCTATGCATATTGTATTCTATGGATGTATACTTCGTACTCCATACTCCATACACCATACAAGTGTGGTCTTTAGGGCACATGTCCAAATGCTTGGCGCGTCGCGTCGCGCTTCGTGACACGCGAGACGCGTCAACGCGTTGAAAATTATGACTAGCATTCCGCCACTTCATTGAGCTATCTACAAGATCTAAGAGTAGGATCATAAAGGCAGTGTTCAAAGGCCCTATAGTCCTAGAGGGTGGCAGGGAATATATCTCCTGAAGGGTGGGAGAAGGGTAGGAGAATAGTAGGGGAACTTCACCCTCTTTGAGATCATTATTAAAACGCGACTTCCCCCGGAAAAGATGGAGATCAGAAAATCAAAGAAATATGCAATACAACTAGGGTGTATAACTAGGGCTGTGCTCTAGTATGCAGCCTAATGCACGCCATTGACATTACTGGCTCTGATCTCATTGCAATACAATACAATCATGATCATGCAACAGATTCAAAGAAAATCAAGCGCATGGGGAGATCTCTTGCCCGAATAGGAAATGTAATTGGAAAAAAAGTGTCTCAGGGGTGCCTCGTGCCTGTTGCCCTTCAGGGCTCTCTTTGTATGTGCCTTGCATGTAATCCCCTCTAGGGCTCTTATCCTAGACTCCTTAGTATACTGTTTCACTGGTTCTATAGTTCCAAGATCAAGTAAATCTCAAGTATAATAGAAAGGCCTTCATTCCAGTTCCTATGTAGTATTCCTATCACTATCATCACATTCGTTGACCCTTTCTGAGCCATCTCACTCCTTTCTTTTTCAATTGTTTCATCTGTTTCAACTGTTTCATAGTTCTTTTGAACTTGTTTGAAATCTGAAAAGATCAAACACATTCTTTGTGACCTAAAATAAACTTGACGTTGCACGGCTTCATTCGCTTGACCGTTTGCGGCCCCAATTTTCTTTTTATCGCCGCATTCCCCCTCCAACTTCTTCCCCCTACAACACTCGCTCCAAAACATTCATATCACCAACTTGCTGTCGCATCCCCCGGAAAAGGTGGAAATTGAAGCGCATTTCAACCACAAGATAATCCATTCATTTTCGCATCCCCAACTCCCTCGTCGCGCATCGCAACTGCCTCCGGCGCAATCGCAGCCTACCCACAAATCGCGCCAACGCGCAACAACTCGTTGACTCTTTTCCTTGACACCATCCATCTTCAATCCAACTTCAAATCGCTCAAATCGCGCATTAAATTTATATATACAATCATGTTGCTCCCATCCGCCCTCCCATGCGATGTGCGCCGGTCGTCTCGCTTCACTCCCAGTCGCCTATTCTCAACACCTCCCCCATCCGACACAGGAATTCCATCAGGCAACGGTCTCCTCGGCACATGTCGCGCACTACAATCTCTACTCAACAGATCGCCCACACCTTCAACACGCTCAGTAAAAGCCCAACGTCTACAGAGCCCCCTCCCCCTCAACACACCCCGTCGCTCGCCGCGATCGCACAAGGCTGCGCGACCCGTCTCTCCCAGACAAACACCACCGCCCAGAACCGCCGCTCTCTCACCCCCACCACCTCCATCCGCACCCGCGCGCGGCGCAAACAAGCGCCGCCGCGACATCCTCGACGACGACGACAGCGACGCAGAGTTGAATCATCGGCGCAACCGCTTCGCGACTCCCAAACGTCGCCGCCACGTTCCCTACAATATGCCTCTCGGCCTTTCCTCTACAGACTTCTATTCTCTACACTCCCCGCCTGTCAGCCAATCGCCACCCTCTCCTCCCCGTCGCCGGATGGATTATGACATCCCGGCTGGCGCACGCGTCGACCCAGACGCGCCTCTTCCTTCCATCGAGGAGTGTGCTCCTTCGCCGCTACAAGACTGGACCGCCGAAGAAGACAAACGCCTTATCGAGCTGGTCCTCGAGAAATTCCGCCTCTCCCAACAAGAATGGGACGAGTGCGCGCGCCAAATGGGTCGCAGCCATGTTGGGCACAGGTGGCAGTCCCTCGTTGGCGAGGGTCGTGTCGGCCTGCGTCCACGCCGTTGAATATTGCTTATTGCAATTATCACGCTTTATTAATGTATTATATGATCTTGTACCCTGTCACTTTATTCCTATTGGCCTTGGCCTTGATTTGTCAAAGCAACCCTGTATTATCATACCTTCTTGTATTTGTGAGATTTGTTCGGTTTCTTTTCGGGTTTTGGTCTAACCAGCACAAATTGCTTTGTTTTACTTTGTCCGGTGTTGTGGGTTCCGTTCTACTCGGGCTAATGTGAATATGCTCTGCTTCTTTTCCTGCTCATATACTGTTCTTTTTGTGTCACTTACTCTATTTATTTTTCTCCCCTTGGGCTTTGATATACAATTGTGGGATATGTACTACTATCTACTACTACAAACTTGGCTTATATTGTTAATCATCTACTACTCCGACTCTGAGATACATAGCAAGTGTAGATTTTGATTATTGGCCGACTATGCTAGTGTTTCGATCATCCCATAATATCTATTTGAGCTTTTTACTATACAGCTCTATTAGCGTGGTTGGTAGAGCCGGACTTTTATCTCACCCTATGCGGCTTAAAATAGATATACCTAGAGCAGAGTGAACTGCTTTGCCATGGTACCATATCTCCATAAGTGGCAACCTACTCACCTACAAGAATATATTTATGAAGTGGATATTTTTGAAAAATCCAGTATGTATATGGCTCCATCCAACGCCGGACACCCGTTGTGCTGCGCAAAGTACAAATAACAAGATGAAACCGGACTTAAGTCCATTGATATCAACACTGCTCGTTGGAGTCCTCTCCCACACGAACCAAAATCAGCTCGATATTTCGAGAAAGATCAGAACCTAAATGAAGCAATTGAGTCAGCCACAGCCACAAACCCCATATCTAATAGAAAGATAAAACACATACCGAATCTCGTAGCTGCCCGCGCGAGTCATATAGCGCACCCACTTGACAGAGCTATAGTTACTCTTCTCAAAGACTTTAAGATAGCGCACCAGCAGACCCGAAGACGTAAACATAAGCAAACTAAACGAAAGACTCAACGGCGGACGACTCCAAGTCTTCTGATGTGTCATAGAAGTAAGAGTAGCCTCAGCATTAAGCACATACTCCGACTGTCCCGAAAAGCGCGCAATCTTCCAGACGATATTGTTCTGCTCAGGCTCATACTTGGCGCGGCCCTGGCTCGTGCGCTCTGTAGTCTTGGCGGTATTAAGCGGCGTGGGGATACGAATAACAACATTCGTAGCGAAGAGCTTGGAGCTGTAATTCGCCTTGATGGCAACGCTGTATTCAACCTTTGTGGTACCTATCTCGCGCACAATCGGGTGCACTTTGAAGGGCAAGTTGACGTTCTCGGTGGCGCGGTAGCGCATCAGCTCGAACTCGCCGTCCGGCGGCACGAAGGAGATGATGCGATCTGCGTCGAATCGGCCCAGCTTCACGCACTGATGGAACTGGCAATCTTCAAGCGTGACGGAGCCTGCCGCCGCGCGCGTTGTCTTCGATGTGCCGAGTCCGTTGTCGCCGCCGGGGTTGTTCATGTTGCTGGAGGTCTCGCCGGTGTCTAGGAGGAGACGGTCGTTCAGGCCGAATTTGCATTCTGGGGTGCCGGTTAGATAGGCGCGCATGACGATTTGGCCGTTGACGTCGGCGCGAAGGACGGTGCCTGTTGCGGACATCAAGAGGTTGACATCTTCGATTACATCGACGAAGGCTTCGTTTTTGCGGTATTTTATGTCGGAGCGGCGCCAGGAGAGGGCACCTGTGGCTTGTTGGGTGATTCGGGAGGAGTCTGTCGGGGAGTTGGCGATGGCGGATTTGACACCTTCGGTTGTGATGTACATTTTCAGGGTATCTGGATCAGTGTTCTGGGGGTATCCGAAGTCGAGGATTTCTGTATCATCAATTATTAGGATTTGATTCTAAGTCAATGGATCTTTTCCACAGCTTACCATCGAGCAGTTCGTAAATCAGGACGAAATTGTTCTTCACGGCCTCCTCATCAAGCTTCCCGAAATAGCTCTTTCCCAGCATAATCAGCCGGTAGAGGAACTCGAAAACCAGCGCGGCATTGGCATTGCTCTTAGTCACAGCTACCAAGTAGATGTTCTCGTGCTTAACATGGCTAAAAGTCGTCGAGCCCAAGGTCAGGATCGGCGAACGCACTTGGGGATTGGAGATGACTTGAATACGGAAGATGTCGGCTAGACGTGGACGGCAGTCACTCCGGAAGGCGCGAAAAATGAGGTTTTCGCCCTTCTGGTTGAATATGAGGATCCCCGAGAGCATATTGTTGTAGTGAGTCGAGTTGCTCCTGAGGATGGAGTTGGAGAGCTGCGGAAACAGGGGTGTGGGGTGGATCGACACCGCCTGAGGTATAAAAGGAGGTAAATTCGAACCCCTCAACTGCAATGAACTATAGTGTTCTATCGCATGTGGTTATACATTCGACAAACAAAACCGATTACATTATTATTCTAGCCGTCTTAACGATTTCTTACAGTTCATACAAACGGAGCGTTTGGTCTATCGGTTCCGATGTGATTCCGAAAGATCACATAGACGAGGGTCCCAAAACACACTAAACCACCTGACAATCTATACACACCTCGCCGCTTCAAAGGCACTGCATGGCTAAATACTTGAGGATGCATAGCATTCGTTGTCGGGGCTCGAAAAGTGACCACGTACCGAAACGAACTCACCCTATGCCTTCACACAATCTGGGCAACATCACGGTCAATGAGGGAGGTTGTTGGTACCATTGACTAGGAATACGGCGAGGGCATATTTCCGCTTACGGTAGCAAGCGGTGGGTCTATAAGGGGGAGGCATCATATCTGATATACTTGACGACGACGAGGATAAGTTTTGGAATGAAAGAAATCAACCCATGTTGGACTGCATTGGTGGTTGAGCTGAGAATACATGCTATACTCATTTTAAACTTGTTCACTTGATACTAGGAGCTGTTCGAATATCCTGTGCTGACCTTCGGACGTGTCAGATAGGACAAGCATTTCATGCATTGCATAATTTGACGCCATGAGCCGCATGCAGTGCGAACTAATGTGTGCATTGTCAGGGTGGGTAATAGAAACTGCCGTAGAGGCTTGTCATGCAGGCAAAGCAAATACCGACTTGCATAAATGCTCAATGTATAAGTATCATATAAACCATGGGCTGTTTAACTTCTATTAAACATCAACACTGGTGAGCATTGAAGCGAAAACAAAGCAAATCCGTGATGTGGTTCTTTTTTCACAATGGTAATAAGTCTAAATGCGAGAATGCAGTGTGACAGCCAGGTATGGACAAAGAGGGTCAAGATGACAATAAGAAAGGGTAAAGTAGCCCGTAGGGGGGGAATAAACAGGGATATGTAGACGAAGCTGACAGAAGAAAATATAAAAGAAAGGTATCAAATCACAAAATGATTAAATGAAAGACCCTCAAAAGACGAAGGTATATAAAGATCCGGTGTCAAAAAAACTGCCGCGGGATGGATATCATGCAGAGGTGCCCACAAAGGGAACAAATCACAAAGATGTACAATCAGAAAGCAAAAGGAAAACGGCGTATACGCCCGACAAACTCCATCAAGATCCAGCCCCAATACCAGTACTCGGCCTGGTATTAGGAGCCGAAGGTGCCTCGCTGGGTACAATGCCCACCTTAGGATCAGGAATCTGAATATCAAGCGACATATATGCCGTTCTCCTCAAGCTCCAAATATGCACACCATCCTTGGCGCCGACCTCACGGTTCCAATTCTCCAACCAAGTCTCGACATTCTGCAACTGGCTTTTTGTCCCGGGTGCATTGAGATCATCCCATACCCAGCCAGTCAACAAGCCCATCACGCCATCGAACCAATTCCGAAAACTAAACGGATCAAACGCCTTGACAATCCCATCATTGACGGTAGAAATCACCCTGCGAAACTCTTGCTCTGACAACAACGGATCCAGAATCTCAGGATACAGATTCGAAAACGTCGGCGCCAAATCACCCTTGATCATCCAATCGCGTCGAATACGAATCACACGCGTCGTCATGTGCTCCCGCGACCCAATAGGCACATGGGGATTAATATGCGGGAAACAGGGATGAGCCGGGCCCCAAGCAAGCTCTTCAGCGACATCAGCGTGCGGGAGATTGGTATTGGATGGGACCGACGCGATCTGGGACTGGGAGCGGAGGGAGGTCTGTGACTGTGCGTATCGGGCACGGTCATTTTGACGAGTTCCGTTCTGCGTGAGATGGACAGCTTCGGGAGGACGCAGGTTCTCGGTTTCCCGCGCTGCACTACCCGCGAACGCCATTTCTGCGCTGGCGAAGTCTTCGCTGCGACGGTGTCGTGGGGGCAGGGCAATGCTAGTCCGGCCACTTTCTGTTTCCCCCTGGCTGCGCTCGACGAGTAGGCTGGTCGGGGATGGGGTTAGACGACTGCGGCGTCGCTCTGGGACACTAAGGAGGGGGTGGGCGTCGCGTGAGTGGCCGAAGCCGAGTGGGAGGCTCTCGTCGGATTGGTGTGGGTGGACACTTATTGGGGTTATTCGTGGGACGTAGTTGACTGGGTTTGCGAGTCGGACTGCTGGCGGGCGGAGGAGCGACGGCGGGCCTGTGATCGGAACGCACTGTCGCCGCTGGGCGCGAACGAATGACGGAGTTGACTCCACTTGGGCGCGATTGGCTGGTTGTAGCAATTGTTGGCGTGGATAGCAGAATGCAGCTTCCTCCCTCGATAGAGGTCTGGGGGATTTTAAGGACGCCGTTTTGATGGGAGAAAGGAGAGGGGGGAAATTGGAGCGGAGATGGAGAGATCGGCCAAGGAAAAAGTTCCCTATATTGTGGACATGCGATAAATGAGTGTAAGAATAAGATTAGAAAATAAATGAAAAAGAAAAGATGAATATGTTGGAGCTGAAATTTTGAGGCGAAATCCTTTATAAGTCCTTATAGAAGCTTGCTTGGCGTATACAAAATCTGTGCTTAATAGATAGAATAGGAAAGATAAAAAAAAGGGTTTCTACAATTCTTATATCAGAGACTCGAAAGGGATACACATCCAATAAATAAAATGCGAGTCGTTTGTAGTTTCACTGTGATTAATCGTCCCTTGTTTCATCGGGACTTTATTGGGTTTAGTACGCTAACAAACGCTAATAGACGTACTATTGTACCTATTATGATGTTTCAATTCAGTCCAAGTCTTAATTTTACTTGGAAGTTCTAGGAAGTTCTAGATATAAAGGAAGTTCTAGGTATAAATTCGAAATATACATTATCAGAGACTATAAGATATCGCCATACTTCATAAAGTCGTGGGAAAAGACACATTCACAATGGCGTGTAATAACAACACCTAGTTATATATATACTAAAAAGAAAAACACAAATCAAAGGGTATCGAGTAAAATAAATGAGCCATGACTGGGCACTACAGTTGTCGATTTGCTGAAGCCTGCATACGCCGCATTGCTTGACGGTGTAGATCCGCCATGTTTCCACGCTGCACACCGTCTGCAATGGCATCGCCCAGCTGAGCAGATGAGGCCTCCCGCATTTGTTGAACAGAGTTCCATGTGCGCGGGCGGTCTACGGAATTGGCCGCGCTGATGGGTGGGGACTGGAGGGCCAAAGGATCTCGCTTCTGGGTAATTTCCTCGCGAACAGACTGTCGCCACGCTGCCATTCTTGAAGCAGACCGGTTCAGCTCGGCAGGAGCTGGTGAGGAGTAAACAGGGAATTGGGGAGCCTCGAGGCTGGCAAGACTGGCTGCAGGGGACTGCATTGTTTGGCGCTGTAGTAGGGCGCGCCGCTTGGAAAGTGGGATATCATCCTCGTTGGGTAGGGCTTGTTGGTGTTCTACCTCTCTTTCTTCGGGGATGGAGAGCGGTGGTGAGATTGGGGAGATGACGGGCGCCATTTCAGGTAGGGACTGGCGGGATATATTGCGTGCGGCCCATGGATCGAAGCGGTTAGATGTTGAGGACATGCGGTTTCGAACCATATTTTCACGGACTGCGAGGAGGGGAGGTGGTCCGTTCCAGCGTGGTGATGGCTCCGTTTCTTTGGGCTCGTTGGGAGTAGTGATTGTCAACAGGGGAGTCGATATATTGCGGATCGACCTCAATCTCGATTCCTGAATTGGAAGCGGGCCAGAGGCTGAACGTGGAATGTTGACTGAAGCTGTCGAGTTATTGCGAGTTAACGCTAGCTTCGCTGTGGTGAGACCTTGGGCACTGGTCCGTGTCTTGGATTGCGGAATATCTGGCGAGGGCATCGATGAGATATAGGCAGATTGTTGATTGTCCATATCATTAAACTCAAGCCTGTTCACGACTGGTGGTGGCTGTGCGGTAAGAGGCGTCTGGAGAAGACCGCCCACATCAACAAATGCTGCAGTCTCGTGAACCTCTGCGTTTTCTGCTTCGGGTTCAGGTTCAAACTTAATTGGCTCCATCTCTGGTGTTTCGGCATCTGCGAGATGCTTGGCCCATTCGTTCGTGCGGTACGAATGGATCACTCGTGAGGTTTGCTCGGGGATGCATTTGACGGTTGATGCATCCAGTTTCTTGAGCACTTTGATCTTTGGTTCAACCTTGAGCTCGGGCAAAGATATAGTAGTCGGTTCTGTGATGGACTCCGGGTTGATAGTTTTGGCAATAGGAGGTCGATCTTCATTGGTCTCTTTCACCTTATCCTCTCCTGTATCTCTCAGAGGCGACGACTCCAATGTAACTTTGGGCTTGACTTCATCGGTCTTCCTTGGAGCATCTGGAAAGTCTGCTTGAACAACTGTTGGCGGTGTTTCCGGCGATTTGGGCTTCTCCGACACCTCGGAAATGCTAAACTTCCCCAAAAGAGTGCCAGCGGGAACAGTGCTCTCGAAGAAAGACACCTGCGGAGCACTGTGGCTGACAGTAGTTTCTTCGGGGGTTACTTTCTCCGTATCCTTTTGGACTATGGCTGTATCGACATGGAGTTCAGTATCTGGGACAGCTTGTGCGCCATCATTCGACTTGACCGCCATATCTGTCGAATCCTTCTCTGGAACTAGCTCGGCGGTGCTAGTTTCTTGCTGTGTTGGTTGCGTTTTCTCAACGCGATCATGAACATCCGCATCTGAGATAACACTCGGACAGCCGTCGCTCATCTCATGGATATCATCCACAACTCCCAATACAGAAGAATTGTCATCGTCATGATCCACCAGATTCTCTTGAGACTCTGAAATAGCCATCACACCATTGCCGCTCCGCAAAGAGAGCCGCTTCAGCAATTCTGTTCCAGAGAACCGTTTTGAGCGCGGCGTACCAACCTCCGAGCCGATGTCAGCACCGTTCTCGGAGCATTCATCATTGCCCTCGCCAATGATATGAGTACCAACAGGTGTAGAAGGTCTCGGTATTTTCCCTTCAGAATGACCCTCCTTCTCTGCACCCTTTCCGTGATCTGCATCCCATGACTGCCTCTGCTGTGAGGGATCCTCCTCCGGCACAGCCTCAAGTTCACGAGCATCGTTTTCACCGTGGCGGTTCTTCTCGCCACCAGAGGAACTACCAGAAGCATCTGGGCTGTGCATTTCCTTTAATTCTATCTCCCCCTCCTTATCGTTGTCAGAAGCCTCGAACCCATCCGAGCCCCGTCGCGAGTCACCGACAGCAGTCTCTGAAACTGAGACGGCTTTGCTATCTGCAGCCTTTCCGTTTCCGTAAATAAGTTCCCATTCAGCGCGCTCTTGGATATTCTTTTCCTCGAGGCGGCGACCGGCTTCGGCATCTTCTTCCTCGATCTTTCGGGTATGTGCCCGACGGGAATCTTCTTCTTTAGCTCTGCGCTCCTTGATAAGATTCCAAAGTCTGACCTGGGAGATTACTCCCAGGACAGAAATAATTATAGTCGCGGCGAGCTCAACACGGATACCACGTGTCACGGGGTAGGTGTCCGTCCTGAGAGGGAAGACATTTTGGTTCAATCCTGGGTCCGTCAGTAACTAGGAACAATTTTGAAAATAGAATGTTTGCCTTACCCCAGATATATAGCCAGAACTCTTTCAGTCCAGCTCTACTGTAGCAATCGATTCCAATGACCAAGGCAGTTGCACCGGAGAACGAGGTGCACCCGATCAGCCCGTATGGCCGTGTATGATGACTGAATGATAGGGAGTAGAATCCAACGGTAAAGGCAATGATCATGCCAGCCTTGGGACCACTTTCAGTAAGAAGACCGCCAGATTCTAAGGCAAGGAACCACATGCTCAGGCAGAAACCACCCAGAAGACAGCCCAGTCCCTCGCAGATTTCTCTGAAAACGAGCGATAGACCACCAAACACAGCGCCAGTGAAGAAGACAGCGACGAGATAGCCACCCTGCACGGCGTTGGTTACCGGTGGGCTCATCACATAGATAATCAGGACCTTCATGGTTATCAGTTTTGTTCGTCACTATTTCCCAGTATAAACTTACGGTAACTCCTAAGGCGCTGAGGAATGCGGTTGAGAGGAAGATTTGGACCCTTTTCTTTGTTAGTAAATGCCGTTATCATAAAAGAATCAGAACGTGAATACCATTGTTTGCGAACACCAATGAAAGTCAGCACAGCCCCGAGGGCTATTAGTATGAATCCCCCAACACCCCATGCTGGCGTGATTGTCGGTTTAATTGGCAGACCACCGGAATATGTTGGCCTAGTGGAGTCTGCCGCTTCCTGCTGAGAAGATGCAGTTGTTCCGTCGAGTGATGGCACTGTAGAGGTAGCGGAAGCGGCAGAAGTAGTCGTCGTGGCATTTGTTGCGGGATGTGTTATAGCAGCAGTTGAGCCAGTAGTTGAGGCAGTAGCATCTGTCGTTGTAGCTTCGGTGGTTGACGCATCAGTTGCTGCTTTTGATGTATCTGTTTGAGTTGTCGTCTCTGCCTCGTTGACAGTATTCTCTATAGTCGTAGGATCCGTTTCTTTTGCCTGTCTGACCTGAAGGTTCGCAACTTCAACATCGCGTCGTCCTGGGCCCAAAACGGGCGCTGCCAATGTCCCTAGTAGTAACAGGGACACTATTAAGGTGAATATTGAAGACCACCGCATCTTGACAGACTTCTAAAGCAAAATGCAATCTCCGTAGAGAGATGTCTTTGGTTATAGACCAACACGCCTCATAATCCCACGATGTTAGTCACACGATTCACACGCGAAATCAATGCAGACGGGGGTACATGAGTAATAATAACACAATTGAATTAAAAAAAAAAGAAATATAATTGAGGTGGCGTTAGGGAGGCATAAGGGAAAAAAAAAGGACAACAAACGCAGCCCTAAATCACCCTATAAACGAACAGGAAATGTATTTGAGTTTTTAACACAGCAGAAAAGCAGAAAATAACATGAACACTCATATTACCCAGAGAATATTACCACGCGGGTGTACCTGAGCTATCTAATTTGTCTCCACCGATCGAGTAAAATGGAGTAAAATGTCGATCTAGTAAAGATCTCGGACTAGCATCGCTTGCACGGACCAAAGAGAAAGAGAGAAGATTCCAAAGTCTCCATATTGTGGCTTAATTGTCTTTTCGACTATTTCTCTTCAACCATGAAACGTGTTTTTGTCGGCTCTTGGGACTATTGTAATTTTTTTTCCCTATGTTGTACTTGAACAACACACTGCAGATCCGAGTGAGCTGTCATATCAATCGCTTATAACAGTTCACCGTCATTGATATTCACGGGTTCACCGAATAAAAGACTCTCCACGGGTGGCGCCGCTATGGCTATCGTAGCCGATCTATTCAGTAAGTTTGGGCCAATTTGACAATTTCAACAATTTCATCAAACCTTCACCTTTGACCTGACCAATCTCACCATTGTCCTGCAATACGTGCAGGGCTAGACCCAGTTAGCCATTGTTGATGCCTCGCAAACGCCCCTGCAGCGACGTGGTTGGGCCGCTAATTGGCGATGTAAGGAGTTTGAGACAACAGACATCTTAATTTATCTTCGGCCTGCAAGTGTGCAGCTCCACTTGGATTTGCCCTGGCCGATCTACCTATCGGCTGCCATATCCAGTTTGGTGCGCCTCCTTTACTGTGCAATTATATCTTCGCGGGACAGCCGGATGTGATGAATTGTGATATGATCAGGCTCTATCAAGTTTTTTTAATAAAATTCATGTTGTATACCCTGACGTGTTCCTGCTGACATTCAACATTGGCGTATAGAGGATTTCAAAATAATAGTTACAAAATAGGCTCGTTTGATTTGCATGTGTTTTCTTTTTTTATTTCTTGCTTTTTACTTGACTCGGGACTTGATACGTTGGATTTATAATTCTGGAGCTCATAGCTGTCGGCACCCGATGCCCTACAACATGGATAGGGGGGATTCCGGGGTATAGGTAGCTCTCTAGCATGAGCTTATGAGCCTCGCCAAAATGACCACGGAGTATCCAATTTCAGTTTCATATCAATTGCAACCGAAATCTCTTGAAACTAAGTACTAAATAATAATATCCAACTCTATGAACTCGATGATGGCATATCACGTCCGAAAGCGGTAGCCCCCAGATCACGTGTCGTGATCGACACTTATCAACAATCGTGCCAAAACAAATCCCAATCCATCCTGACTATAATCCATAATCAACATCCTCCATCCAACCATGTCCGCCTTTTTCTCCTCTCTGCGCCCAGCCATGCGCATGGCTGGTGCCCCCCAGACCGCCCGCGCCTTCAGTTCCTCGCCCGCTCACTCCGTCGCCCGTCTGACCCTCACCGGCCGTCTCGGTGCAGAGCCCGAGCTCCAGGCCACCTCCTCCGGCCAGGAGATCATCAAGTACAACATCGCCACATCTCACGGCAACCGCGACAACCGCCAGACAAGCTGGTGGCGCATCACCAACTTCGTCCCCGAGGGCCCCCAGCGCGATTTCGTCCTTGGCTTGCAGAAGGGGTAAGTCGATACTCTTGCTACATTGCTGGATTATGCGCGATAATATGGCGCATTTGGATGGCGTCTTGTCTTTGGGTGTGGTGTTGCTATATGCCTTTTGGATCCGGCAGGCAGTCTATACAAATGGAGAGCGAGAGCTTGCGCTCATGCTCGCGCTTGAAGACTGTATAGGGATCGTGCCTGTTTGGAGATGACGTGGTTTTGGTAGTCGGCGACGCACCTTCGGATAAGACTTCAGTCCTTGGAGTCGTGTTTGTGGAGCAATAGGGGTTGGGATATTGGATTGTCCCAATTGCCTCCTATCCACTCGCACCAATGCAGCAACTTGAGCTTTAGTTTGATACAGATGAGCTAACTTTCTTCCTGCAGAACTCTTCTGTACGTCGAAGGTGATGCCAAGATGACCACTTGGGAAGATGCCGAGGGCCATACCCGGTCCTCTTTGAATGTCGTGCAGCGTATGTCGATCCCCCGTTTTCTCAATTTGCTCACACTCTCTGGGAACAATTTAAAACTCAAGGTTCGATCTAACGCTTTTCTAGGCAACCTTGAGGTCCTTAAGCGTCCCGATAACGGCAGCCACGGCGACGAGTCTCACTAAATGGCTTGGTCGCACTCTGTATCAATTTGAATTTGTTGCTAGTTTCATTTTGGGGCTGGTAGGGCTGAGAAAATCCTCCTTTGTGGTGTGATTATATTGTACGATTATACCCTGAATACACTTCGTTTGTAGTGAATAGATTCGATCTTCGTAGTGTCTATTTTTCTTGCGAGACTAATCCCAATATATATTTGGAAGGTTCTTCATTAGTCTTGCATGTATATCGGTAACCATTGAATCTACGAATAAACACCCTCTAACATATTAATTCACTTTCTGTTCATTTTGCACGAGAGCCACTGGACTCCGCGACGAATTATGTGTTATGATACTTAAGTACTACTCCGATGTACAGCAGAATCCCATGATTCCAGACCAACGCAAATCAGAAAACCGTAACAAACCCCAGATACAATCCGGAAGAAGAACAGATCCACTAGACGTGAGCCCTAACCTCACTCTGTTGGCTAATAACCTGCCGCACATGAATGAAATCCCTATTAATTTCCGGTGAACAAGGCCCACTGGACAAATCCCGACTCTCACGACGACTAGCCCAAGCATTAGTGCAAACAGTCTGTGAAGGGCCGGGCAGGTCAGTCAACAGAGTCCCATCGATATCCTGACGATTGTGACGTCTGTTAAAGAGTGACCAGGGCAAACTACTCCATCGAGACTTTTTGGGCGGTATGCAGGAGCTATGATGGGACAAGCGCGAAGAGGTCCCCTTCTCAAGGTCGTTGTAAGTGCCATGTGTCGAGACAAACGTAGCGACAGATTCTTTCTGGCGGGAGAACAGCGATCTGGCACGGGAGCTGATGGTGCCGACAAGTGTTGTGGCTGTTGAGGCGTGTCCGCGAGACGGGGTGTGTGTACTTGTTGGAGGCTCGATGCTCGGGAAGCAGGAGCTCAATCCGAAGTACCAGAAGACTGTGCTGTACATGCGCGTTGCGTCGCGGCCGAAGCCGAAGAAGATGAAGATCATGAAGCCTGATGCGACGGGGGTCCAGCGGTCGAAGAAGACGGTGCCATCGATGGGGTATTTGACGATGGTGTTCCATTCATTTCCTCTGTGGATATTGTGCCAGGAGTAGGAGTGCCATGGGAGGGAGAGGACTATGTCGCTGTAGACAACGTAGCCTTGTAGTGGGAGGATACAGACGAGCATTGATAGAGCAAGGAAGAAGAGGCGGAGGAAGCGGGATTTGCTGAGATTGCTGCTGGAGGCGCGGATGATGTTTGCAAAGTCGCTTCGGTACTTGTGTACACGGATGAGGACCAGGCCTGGATTGTTTAGTTAATGGGGGATGGTTGCGTGAAGTTGGGGGTATATACTTACAGCAATAGTATGCTGCAATAAGGCAGATAATCGGCGGCCAGATCCATGCAAAGACGAGACTGACCCAACTCTCGTCGAAGTTGTTCACACATCCCGAGATGGCAAATAGCAAGTATCGACTCTTTTGCCAGATGATATGTGTGATCATTGCGATGACTGGAACGACCACACAGAATAGAATCTCCACGAACTGATTGCGCCAGCGTTGACCTTTGCTCGGGACTAAGGTGGCCCGATCTGTATCTAGTACGAGTGCAAGACTTCGAAAGATGCATACTAGGCTTCCTGGGATGCCCACATAGCCAGCAGTCATAAATTTGACCTCGATATCACAGAGACCAGCCCCGTCCCACCACGACTCTACGTCGTCTGTGGGCCAGATGAGAGAATTGATGATATTGAACAAGTTGAGGAGAATTGACCAGAAGATCAGACTGGTAGCAGGGAAATTGCGGTTCTTTTCATGCAGAATTAATGGGGGAATAGCCAGAACAATGGAGAACGAAGATAGAATTGGCAGAACCACAGCCTGCGGGAGTCTTGGGTAAATATCCATGACGGCAATGGATGTAAAACAAAGATTAAAAAGAATATGTCGGTCAAGTGAGCCTCTTGTTCTCCTGCAAACTCATCAAGTGAACGAGGAGATAGGATGAAAGAGAGAAGAATGCGTTGAAACCATCCTCTCTCGATATAGGATGTATACCCAGTCAGGGGAGGTGATTGAGCAGCGATGTCTTATTGAGATCCGAATAGTGAGAATCAGGAGGTTGATTCAGAGCTCAAGACATCATGCCGTGAGTAAAGTCATGTACTATTTCCCAAGAATGTATGGGCCGCAGAGGCAAAATTCGCGGCTGGGGTGACCAGGCCTTGCCATGTCTGCGACAGGCAAAGAAACCTATCCATTGGATTAGCATTGAATTTGACTAAAGAACTTACAATAATAAGATGAAAGAAGATGAAAGAAGTTGAATAAAGCAACGTGAAGTATATGGGTTGGGTTATTGTGATTGAGCGAATAGTATGAGGGGACACCCGTCCGGATTTGGGTGTCAATAGACCCGAGGAAGCGGGGATTTTATTCATTTCGATCCGCCTGATATTTTTGTCGATCTGGGGAGATTAATGATTCATTATTGATCTAGACTGTTTATTCAGACAAGACTGATCAGATTCCAGTGAACTCGGAGTTCATCCTCGACGGGTACACACCAAAAAATAATAATAATAATAATAAGAAAAAAAAGAGTACATTAATTTTTCTAAATTTTTGTAATTTCACAATTTCTTTAATAGCACAAATCCAAGGTTAACGCGCGATAGAAGTAGTGAGCTCTTGGACTGAGATGGTAATCCCGAAGGCCAGTTGCCTTCACATTCTGCAACATGCCAGACCAGAATTTTCGAACAAAAAAAGAAGGCGGCCCGGCTGATCAGGCCCGAGCCTGGGCATTAATAACTTTAAATTGCAGTGTAACAGCAATTCGATTTTCCAGACGAACTCCAAGTTCCGAGCTTCATCGGTGTCTGAGCTCCGATACCTACGCGATACTGCAAATGTTAACCTCGGGGCTCGAAATGACACCCACAAGATAACCTGGAATTCATCGGGTCCATACTCATTCTTTCAGTGGTTTATAAAGTCCGAAGAGATGCCACTTCGAAACCGCTGTGATGAGAGAGTATCATGGAGAAAACGGCCATCGAGAAGGCAAACCTTTCGCCAGCTGTCGCAAGCGGAAAGAATTGACAGTTTTTACACTTTCAAGTATGAGCTCTATTGTGTGAGTGAATTCGGATAATAGTGCTTTATTCCTTTCTCTCCGATGCTTTATATTCAAGCTAAGCTAACTTTCTTAATATTAATCTCTTAACTGTGATCTACGCACCTGCAAGCATCTAGATATCCTAAGAGTTTGACTAATATAGCGACTTCTTGTCAGTCTTCTCTATTACAGTATGAAATTTAGTAAAAGTTTCCATAAAAAAGGGGGATTCGAAGGCGTCAAACCATGGCTTCTTCGTGGTTTGTCCTTGTCCTACGACTTGGTATATAGTATAACCCCTAGAGTTTTATCTATATAATATGCTTGATTAGTCCTTGCCAACTCCTATGGATGGGATAGAAAAAGTTTCAGTCCTATATCCTGGTCCATTTACGCTAGTAGTTCTACGCTAGCATAATTTTGCTAGCATTTTCTATTTTGGCTATATAGAACTACAAAGTAATCAGGGCTACAAATAACAATGATACCGTGAATGGGAGGCCAGAACCCGCTTTTGACGCTGTTTTAAGCCGCTCACCGTGATCGGTCTGGGCGTCGCACTGAAGCCCATGGACAACTCTACTGCCACCATGCTTCGGGCCGTGCCGCGCCCGCCGGCCCTTGTAGGTTTCTACCGGTGGCTCGAGTGACCTTTCCACTGCATATCCAAATCAACGCATTGGGAAGAGCAAACCACTGTCATTCCATATCCATTGACGACGAAAAATGGCTTCTATTCGCAAAGCCGTTGATATTTGACCCGTGAAGGTCAGTCTGCGGCCGCATCCGCAAGCCGCAGGACATATTTTTCTACACCGCAAATCTCAATTTACGTTGTTCAAACTTTCAGGATATTTAACACCCTCGATTAAGAGATTGGGCTTGGAAGAGGGCTAGGAAACACTCAGTTTGCCCAATCAGACGAAACTAGCAACCCAAACATCCATGGACCTGACTCCTTTCCGACCCCCCTGTATACCCTCCAAGCTCGCCTCACACGCATCCCGTGACGCAAGAACCACCGCCCGTTCCCTCTCATCACTCACTTGCTCCTCCACTTCCCTTTCGAAAGAGGAATCAAGACAAGCAGAAACTTCCCATTTTCCGTCCGACAACTCCTCCCCACCCTGCACGAGGGTCTCACTCTCCAGCTGCCACCCAGCAGCCACGGCCAGCTCGGTAAGCCGCTTTGGAGACAGCACTGTGCGGACGTTCGATTCGCTGTCCTCGGACTTTCGACACTCCAGCGCTGCCTGGGTGAGCGCAGCTAATACGTGAGGCTGCGCAGAGGGGTGTGTCGCTACTAACGACCACTCCGCAAGGAGGAGACGCTTGCTGTGCTGCTTGAGGGCACGGAAGGTGGAAAGGATGAGCGAGGGGGAGGCGAAGTACCATAGGGAATGGGCGAGCACTGTCGCGTCGAAAGCCTTACTTTCGCTAGCAGGCGACGAGGTGGAAGAGAGGAAGGAGAGGTAGTCCAGGGGAGTTTGTTGGACCCAAGTGATGCGCCCACCTAGCGGGCCTTGCGAGATGTGACCCTGTGCTTGGCCGAGAGTATACGGGGAACCTGTAGGAGCTATCAGTTGGCTGCTTTCCGCTCACACAGGACAGGTAGTAGGGTCAGAAAAGCTAGAGGACTCACCATAATCCGATTCCGCTGGATCGACTGCTACCACTCTTCCCTGCTCGCCCACAGCATTAGCAAGGACAGTCGTGCAGTCTCCTTGCCCGCATCCTAGTTCCAGGACCTTGGAGTCAGTGGGAATGTTCCAGTGCTGTAGGAGCGCCAGGCGGTGGATGGTTTGGGAGTGCTGGATGCCGAAGTGGTTGGGGTCGTGTAAGGAGATACGGGCGATAGAGGCGGCGTCGAGTTGAGTGGACATGTTCTGCTTGGGTGTTGGACACAAGGGTGAATTTTGCGTAGGTGATGGAATTTGGAGCTATAGTCTTTATTGCAGTAAAGAGCTGTGAATGGGGACATGTTATCAGACCTGGAGGCCTGGGAGCACCCCCGGGGCCCCCAAAATTAGTATGGTAAGCTACTGATGTGACATATTTACTGTGACAAAGCCCCTCTTTCAGGCACCATAGTACTTGGATTTAGATAGGATAGTTTGCCATTGAAAATTTCATAGGATTGACTTTGTTTTGACGTATACAAGGGTAGAATCTATCATTTTTTTAGCTCTAAACAGTGTCAATTATAGGTATTAGAATGCCTTAAATAGTTAGGATAAATTGTAGTTAAATGTACTTGTCCAGGTAAAAGGCTTCGTAAAGAATCCCAACCCCGCTTTTTAGATTGTGGGGGCAGAATTGCTTCGTATTCTTTGGTGTTCAACAAGTCTTGGGAAACAGAGGCCGATTCAGCTCGCTAGCTTTCCTCTTCCTCTTTCAGACACTGACAGTTACCAGTATAACAGGGTCCAAAGTTGGCAACCAAGGCTTGTGAGTAAGGATACCCATCCAATCAGCCGTGAGACTTGAATGAGCCTACATAGATCTGTCAGCTCGGCCAATGCAGTCGCGGGGTGAAAACTCAGCCACTCTCAACCTAGCGCTTTCGACACTCTCCGGTTGAAGAACTGCAAAGTCCTTGCCTCGTGTACTGAGTGTATCGTTTGGCCGCGACAGTTCTTTTAACTGCTGCTTCTGTAGTGATGAATAACGACTCGGGTGCCGACTTATCAACAAACGAGTCAGAAGGCCATAACTCCGCTTCTAACTCCGCTTTTGACTCTGCTTCTGACTCCTCCTCCAGGTCAGTCCAAAGCTATGTACGATCTCGTCCGCAGAGAGATGCCAGGGTGGCTTTTGCGTCGCCAGACTTGTCCTCGGAATCATCAGCGACCGGATCGGAAGTGGAAGTGTTCGTTCCTCTTGGAGCAAGAACACGAGCAAGACGTCGAGAAATAAGTCGACCAATAGTTCCACCACGGCGTAGTTACAGACCCCAACCGAGTCTCCTGGATCACTCCGATACGCGCCATCATACGGCTGCCTCTAATTTCTCAAGGCCATTTCTTCGTAGCTCATCTCCAAATCGTCGATGGAACCAATTAAGAGGACGGGATATTTCCATAGACCCGACTCCAAATGCCAGGCTAAGGCCACAATTAAAAATCTACGAAGAACTTGCGGATGACTCTGATGTCGAGGTAGTCCACCACATTATCGGTGTACGTCCCTCTCGCTCTATTGACAACCGCGGAGATAAAGAACAGAACTGGCTCGGACGCAAGGTGTTCACGCATCAATCCTTGTTTAATCAAGATGAAAAAGCTTCTCTGGAGACTTATCGTATTGTCCAATCACGACTGATCCCTCGCTCTGAGGATTACTTGCATGACCGAGCGATTCTGACTTACGAGGGGAAACCGGCCTCATCTGAGACAGAGATTCGATGGGTGTATGTTTAATTTCATACTTTCCTTCGTTTTGTCGACGAGGGCCCTTACTAAACAAGTACAAACAGTCACATTGAAAGTAGTTACATGGACCTCGAGTTCTTTGAGGTGTGGTCCCCGCTGATATTACCAAAGATTCGACTAAAACATTCAAGCTGGAAGCTCTGCGTCAGCAAAAGATTCCAGAAGTGACCAGCACAATTATCCGCTCAGCATTCAGATACCTCCGGCAACGAAATGAAAAGTTATACGTGCACGGGAGGTTTCTCGATCCGACGGCGTTAAGCTTCGTTGCCAGGGATGAGGATCCAGAAGGATTGTTAGTACAAGAATTGGCATCGATTGTATTCTTAGCTTTTCCGTACTTCACTCTCGAGCCACTGCGTGTCCAAGACCCCACTTCCGCGGAACCGATACACCCGGTCAGAAGTCTTCTTCAGTATCATTATTCTTTCCAGTCGACTGGGCAGCGAGATGCAGATCAAGTTGTTTGTAAAGTTCGAGAGGTGCCGGATGTGCTTCATGTGCCCCAGACATGGGTGCTTCTAGTCAATGAAGGTATGTACGGATTGATCAGGGTTAGCCAAATTTGACCAAATTTGACCAATCTCTAGATTTGATCCTAAGCATGGGTCCGAACAGCCTTGATCATATTGGAGGGGAGTATGTTTCCCTTGAAAAGGCCAAAGCGGGTGCAATGACCCAGATCCGATTGATCGACTTCGAAGGGAAACAGTACTTTCTGCCAAAACGAAGCTGTAAGACATGGCTGGTGAGTCTCCATATTGAGTTTCAAACTTATATTTCAAGGCAACGACTCATTCAGTAACATAGGAGTTTGTCACCATGTTTAGCACAGTTGAGAAAGACGAGACAGTGTTGGCTTCCTTCATGAACGGCTCCTGGAGCGACGAGTACGAGCTACGGCTTGGGAATGAGCTTATCTCGGAAGAGAACTGGTCAGAGGCTGTGCTCTATTCTGAAAAAGATATAACAATCCACATCGTGGAGAAGCCCCGGCGGACTATGCCTCATCATTTGCGTCCATCGCGGGAGTATAGTAGGGCCCAATCTGACCCCAGACGGAGGTCATACTCTCCTCGATCAACAAACTACGGTGAGTCCGTCTTTGAAGGTTGCACAGCTTCCTCAAACATCTGTACAGATAGACTGACACGGCCTCTACAGACAACAGGATGAGAAGAAGATCGTTTATGAATTATGCCTCAAATACAACACCCGACGACATTCTCATTCGACATTCAGCTTCCATCAACAATGGACATAGAGAGGACAGCGACTTAATACGCCAATCCCATACCGATGTCGTAAAACGACATGCGTGGCAAAGCGACAAGAAACCAATTCGTTTGAAAGATTTGGATGGTTTTGAACTGAGCATCCCCTGGCGTGTTGGTGGAACCTGGCAAGTATGATCACCCTTGCTCTTTTTGCGCTGGGACGCACACTAAAAAGCCTGACTCGAACAGAAAATGCACTCCGTGGTTGATACAAAGATGCAGAAGAGCTATGAGTCTCGGCATGCTTATACTAATGGGGACTATATATTGAATGGTCCGGATGGGCCCATCACGCCTGCAGATTGGGACGAAAAGATCATTCCTGGATGCACGGTTGAGCTCAAGCTTACTAGACCCGGGACTACTGGACGAATGTCGAGGCCTCGCTTTCGCTATAGGTACCCAAGGCCTTTTCCCGACGACGAGAATTCCGCCAATACTGCAGCCCAGACATTTTTATTTACTCCAATGCCTCCGGAAAGAATCGACACATCCTATCGAATAGAGTACCCTAGGACATCTTCACATGACGCCTTGGCCCGGGATGTAGGCTCTCAGACTCCTGGCGAGTCCAACGAATCCGTCAGCGATCAAAATATCGAGGATGTTGCGAGTGAGCCCGTTTTAACGACAAGCGCATTGCAGCAGCCTGAGCCGTCGTCACATATGGCTCTGGTTCTCTGGCGACGCCCTGCTCTCAATTCGGATACAAACTTTCACACAGCAACTGGCGAACAATCTGGCGGAGTTCTAAGCCTACCTCGAAGATCTACTGACTCCCAGAGCTTTGTTGAGGATAGTATCCCTACTGAGAGACCCTCCCCCGATGACTTTGCAGACCATTTTTTCCCTGTTGGAAGAACCTCAAGCGATTCTCGGCTTTCATTTTCAACAACTAGCTCGGATGAGCCTATCAGGCAAAACTCATTATCACAACAATCAAGCCCAGAGGAGCCTGCAGCAGACCCGCAGCCAGACAATGGAACGGAGACAACACCAGTGTGCCCGATATTTGCCTGGGAGGTTGCAGGAAGCGATGATCTACCGCCTACCCCAATGGAGACAGGTGCGTCAACGTTTGGGCGCAAAGATGCGGATAGGGCTATTCGCGCTATATTGGAAGAACGAGAGGCAGAGGCAACACTGTATCTCCTGAAGCACAAGCAAGAAAACAACATTTTGGACTCACTTTCTAGGTGTTCAAGGAGAGAAGTCTTTGCCGAGATGGAAGTCGCTCGCACTCTTCTAGACCGGTCTTCAACAATGGAAAGATCTGCTAGGAAAAGGTCAACGCGGAAAAAGCTAACGGTGATCACTAACGCGATTGAGATTCTGGATGCGTTCGTACCTGCACAGCATCATAATATCTATCAATATTGGTTGATCGAGAAATTTTACGGCGCATTGCTAGCAATGACATCCAGCTACGTGAGTTGTTCATTCTTCTTCTCAGATGGGGGAAAGTCTAATCCTTCAACTAGTTTAGCGATGCCTATCTCGACAGAATTGGCGATCGTATATCCTCATTTCTCAAACAGATCAGGCAGATTCACGCTCGGGTCTCAGGCGGTGATGAGCAATCCCGGACCTTCTACCTTCCTAAGGCCTTGGTCGATGCCTTCAACCCCATGATAATATACGTCTGCATTTGCAGTCAGGTGCCGGATGAGCATCGACCAGAATGGGGTCTTCTCCAACGCCACGCGAGAAAAATCTTGAAATCTCTTAAGTTTGCCGAATATCAGCTCATTTCAATGATCCATGCTGGCGACTTCAGCGAAGCCAAAGTTTTCCGACGCGTCAATGCCCAGAACATCATGACCATGGTCGCGGAGCGCCTGGTGCGGATACCGAATGAGAATCCGAAAGGGATATCCTCGTCAGATGGGTTCAATCTTCTGCAGATCTATCGACAGTATATCCTGGGTCTGGTACGAATGGCAGGCCTGTATGCTACTCACCATTACACTAGCTGACTAGTAACAGGAACTACAAGTTCGCACATCTCCAAACGCTGAAATCTTTGACGAAATACAACGACTCCGAGAAGAGCTGAATATTGTCCACACCGTACTGGACCAGCAGCTGGAGGTCCTTAACAAGCTTCGTAGGGTGTGGACCGGTGTTAGACATTTCAGTAACCAAGTCAACCTGTCAAGCATCCGCCAAGGCCGCAGGGTGATCAAAAAAATGAAAAGTGATTTGGATGAGCTCGAGGATATGGCTCGCAGAACATCTACGCTGGTAAGTTGTGCTTTCTGCCTCACACATTCCATCTCAATTGACCACCTTCAACAGCTACGGTCTATGATCGAGGTGCGCAAAGAGTCGAATAGTAAAGCAATCACCATCTTCACGGTTGTGACGGTCATCTTTCTGCCTCTGTCGTTCGTGACCTCCTACCTCGGCATGAATAGTATTGACATCCGAGACGGCACATTCAACCAGACCTTGTTCTGGATTGTGGCCCTTCCTAGCGCTGCTATTCTCATCTCCACGTTGTGGATTGTTCTTAAATTTAGGCAAAGACTGAGGAGATGGTGGCCTCGTCGAAGACTACAGAGATCACTACGGACGATTGCATTTTGGTTCCACCGACCCACTACTATTGTTCCCAGTGGTTCCGCATCGAGTCGGACAAGGAGAGAAACTGATTCGGGATATCTAAGGGATATTGAATAACTATAGGAGTATCTTTCGGGATACAGAGAAAAATAAATGACTCCCCTGTGTATGTAGATATAGCCGTGATGAACTCCACTATCTGTCATTTATAAGAATATTTGAGTGACCGCTACGGCGGCGAAGTATGTGGTATATAACTCAAACGTTCAGGAGCACGCGGTCGGTTCCTAGGAGGTAATAGGGGTCTGCTGCCGGTTGCAGTAATCCATAGGTCCGCCGTTTACATGAAGTTCATGCCCAACAATGACGCTTATTAAAGCAAAATAGCCATCCTGCCCTCATTCCCTCCTTCTCACCAACTCAAATCCAAACTTCGGCACCATATCAATCTGCATAAAGTCCACATGACACGCCACGCGTTGGCACCTCATCTCCACCACTAGACTCTCCGCCCCGGTTGGACAAGCGAAATCCACTGTTGTGCTGTTTGGCTTGGCTGTGAGGTCTAGCACGCCGAGCAGCTCTCCGCGCACGGGAAGTGTCGAATACGATAAGGTATCATAATCGAGCTCGTCCATAGTCGAGACGGTGGCTGAGGTGGCCGAGGGTGCGATAAGCTGCCAAACTTCGATTTCCGTTACATCTCCCTTAGTTGTGAGGTCCTTGGTACGCGCGGAGATCTCCGGAGGCGGCCGCCAGGAGAGTGCACAGGTGTTGGCGCCAGTGGAGGGGATGGGGAAGCGCATAATTGTCGAGTCCTTCTCTTGTGTCAGCAGCTTCACACAGAGCGGTAGACACAGAGAATATGTGGATGGCTTATTAAAGAGAATGAGGAAGGACCAATTAGGGAATACAGACCTCGACACTAACATAAACCTGCACTCCGTTACCGAACACGGCATTCTTCACTTTACGGCTCACCCGTGCAATTCTATCCGGCCAAGCGTGGTTATAGACTTGGGGAGGAGGCATGAATTTCGCCACCCTGTCCAATCCCACCCTAGAATCGCCATTGGGGAGGGCCTCGATTTCAGAGTCCGATAATGGGTAGGCTTGATACTTTGATAGTGTACTGGGAAGGAGAGCGACATTCACAGCTGATAGTAGTGCTAGGGCGAAGGAGAAGTAGAGGACCAGCTTGGGCATTTGAGAGGGCTTAGATGGCGCGAGGCCGGAGAGGTTGTCTGAGGCTTCCAACAAGGGGGCAGAGTGGTCGTCCTCAGAGGAGGAGCGCTTCTCAAGACTTGAGCTGGAGCTCTCGCCATCTTCGTGTAGCGAAAGAGGCGTATACTGAGAAGAGCTGAACTTTTCCTTGGAGGACATGGTGAGGGCGGTCAAAGAGAAGAGCAGAGCGAGAGGAGAGAGGGAGGCCGTGGGTGAAAGCAAGTAATGGTAAAGCAGGCGATGGCACCCGTACCAGGTAAACCGCCCAGAAAATAGAACTGTACGCCTGGTATGCCATACTGCTCACCCCACTCGCCCAAATTTCACCCCGCTCACCAAAGAGATAGTATAGTTTCAGTGCATTAGCACCTTGGCATTTCTGCTTTTCCAAGAAGATCCCTGTGCGTTGTCATCGCCAAGAAGGCGGGACGGGTCGCCCAGACGCCTGGGACGCCTCGCCGCTTAACTCCGCCCTCTAAAAATATAGTAGAGTTACAGTGCATTAGCCTGCATGGCCAAGCAGACCCCTGTATGCTGTCATCCGGGCCAAGAAGGCGGAGACCGGTCGATATCTATAACTGCCTCCGTGTATCATCTAACGCCATCCAACTTGGCGACTAGTCATTTGAGGGGTATGACTGTGACGGCTTCTTCTGACAGGTAGGAAGAGCCTGAAGGGGGTGAGACCGTCTGACCTCACTTCATCTTGCAATTTTCACCTTGCTGCACTTGACAACTGTCCACCATGACCTCCCTCCTCTTCCTCTTTGCCCTCAGCATCAGCGTCAACCTCACATCCGCCGCGCACGCCGGCTTCCATGTCCAGTTCCCATGGATGACCCGCGGTCCAAACCCTAAATCCCGACCAGGGATAGATCCGTACAACCCTTTCTGTGGTATGTTCTTCTCTGTCTCCAGTCTAGCAGCAACGTAGGCTGATACACAGAAGGGGAGATAATACATAACCCCCAACGATACGCCCGCAGCTCCCGTAGTTTCCTCTCATTTTCTGGTCATCCTGGCGACCTTGTAACGGCCCTCTATACCACACATAGAGTGCCAAGAAAGAGAGATGACTTCCCCCACATCATCCTACAGGATGTGCCCATCCAGTCTTCAGGGCAGCTGTGTGTGAACGTCACGATACCATTTGAGACTAAGCTCGACGAGATGGGAGTCATGTACTTCGAGGCGAAGGATCCGAAGACAGGAAATGTGGAACACTATGTCAGTTTCTCCGGCTTCCAAATAGTAAAGCTGATGCTCATGCAAAAATAGTGTTCCGACGTCAAGATGGCTGACATAGAAGCTCTTCCGGAAGAACATCCGGCTATGTGTGCGGCTAACAACGAGACACTTATCCCGATGCCGGATGAGTTTATGTAGATGCACGCTGGATAGCTGTGATGTCCTGCAATTATCATGTGAATATTGCTTCTAAGCGTGCAACTTTGTGCCTCTCTCTGCAATCTATTAGCTTGAAATAAAGCAGATATCTAGGTTGGTAGCTCCTCTATTCGTTTCCATTAAATCTAAAATAATCATCGTAATTCGACTGTTATCTATAGCGTGTATGAATGAACGATCCGCCGCCAACATGCTGGTACACCTGTCCGAAGAAGGCCAAGGAGGGAGCGTTAAACCGAAAGTAGCATTAGGAAAAGCAGATTACTCGCGAGAGGGTCAAGGAAGAGAGCAATAGATTCTTACTAGCCCAGCTTTAGCATGCTATACAATGTATAGAGAGACTGAACATAATACACATACATGCGGAGAAGATAGCTGAGATACTGGTTGATATACTCTGCTTATATATACGTAAATTGCTATGTAACGACTGTGGTAAAAGAAATACCCCCAAATAGGGCGCAAAATTGCTGGATTGCGGTCCTCGACTATGGAACATGATATAGTAAGGCTCATTCCATGCTAGACCTCGGTTATTCACAGCCGAGCAGTGCCTAGACGGCCGCGACCTCATCCTCATCCAAGATGTACTTGTGGCGCTTCTCGAGGGCGCTCTCATCCTCATCCAAATAGTACTTGTGGCGCTTCTCAAGGGCATTCTCGTCCTCGTCCAAGTAGTACTTGTGACGCTTCTCGAGTGCGTTCTCGTCCTCATCCAAGTAGTACTTGTGACGCTTCTCGAGTGCGTTCTCGTCCTCATCCAAGTAGTACTTGTGACGCTTCTCGAGTGCGTTCTCGTCCTCATCCAAGTAGTACTTGTGACGCTTCTCGAGGGCGTTCTCGTCCTCATCCAAGTAGTACTTGTGGCGCTTCTCGAGAGCGTTCTCATCCTCATCCAAGTAGTACTTGTGGCGCTTCTCGAGAGCGTTCTCATCCTCATCCAAATAGTACTTGTGGCGCTTCTCGAGTGCGTTCTCATCCTCGTCCAAGTAGTACTTGTGGCGCTTCTCGAGTGCGTTCTCATCCTCGTCCAAGTAGTAGGTGTGACGCTTCTCCATCATATCATGGACATGGCCAGTCGACCCGTCGGCGCGGCGATCCAAATCAGTGATAGGAGCCGCTGCGGACGGGATGATATTCAGGCCGAAGCTGGCGAGGCTGAGCAGGGCGGTCAGCTGCATTGTTGGAGTTTTGCGGTACGCGGATGCTTTTGTTGAGAGAGGTAAAGAGGAGGCTCGTTAATGAGATGTTATGCTCGTTATGCCCTTGGGGATTTATACGTTTATCCGAGAGAGAACAAGTGTGCTGACTGAATATAGAAGCGGGCTGAAGTACCACCTCAAATTGCCAACTCAAACTGCCCCTCATCTTGTAGAGACGATCACTACTAAAAAGAGCCAAAAATGCATGCTTGGATGTAGTTGTAAATTTGTAATGTATAGGTGTGATCAGCTCTATAGACACGCCACGCCCCCACCTCGCTTCGGATCGCCGTCGGAGTGGGTCCGGGGAAATGGGACGTGCATAACCTTGTACACACAGGGTCCACGGTAGAGTAGAAATAAGGTCAGCATTACCCACAATCCATACTTCTCACCACCTCTTTAGTCCTAGCTGTAAGAGGGGCACGATAATCCATCACGCTAACCTCATCGAACTTCATTGCCAAGCCACTTGGCGAGAAAGAAGCCCAAAGCAGGGTGTAGTCTAACCGATGGCCCCCAAGGGTGATCCCGTGTCTAGGCACTTTCGTGATGACTAGGGTAGTATTGATTATTGTGGAGCCTCATATTGCCTACATGGGCTTTTCGCTTACTGGCACCCTTCACTTGATCGACCAAATCTTTCGATAAAGGCTGTGGCAAATAGAGCATCTTGGCGGTTTCGTCTTCTCCTTCCCCCTCTTTTCGGGCCCATCGTAACTTGCCCGCCCATACCAGAGCAAATACGGCCATAGACTGTTAAACACTATTAGCCCGCTCCTGATGTGGAACAAATTCCCGTCCCCTTCTGCTCTCTCAAGGCACCACCATCACACCAAGATGCTCCCCAAGTCTCTGACAGCCCAATTACGCGGCCCCTACCTCGGCCTACTCATAGCGTTGAGCGTATGCCTCGTCCTGAACTTTGGCGCCTTCTTCTTCTCGCTCCGCATCTTAACACGTGGAACCCGGGAATACAGTATGCCATATCCCAATTTCATCTCGCACTCATTACTAACGCATGGTAGCCTATCTCGAGGGCGACCGACCTCGTGAGCTCCCCCTAAAGGTTCGCACCATTCAAACCGCCTTCAAAGATGACCCTGACCACTACGGGATGGATGGCATCACGGCCACGGCTGAATGGAACGCAATCCGCCCTCCCGGCAAGGGTTTCGTTTTTCTAGGGGAGGAGCACTACGCATTTGGTGTGTCGATGTGGCACCAAATACATTGCCTTAATCACATACGCGCGGCGTTTGTCAACGGGGACGACGGGTCGGACCATACAGAGCACTGCTTCCATTACCTACGGCAGGGCATTCTCTGTGCCGCTGACACAACCCTAGAGCCAGGTGGCACGAGCATGAAATTGGCTAATGGGGATACAGTCGCTTCAAACAGACCAAATGTGCATACCTGCCGGGACTGGAGACAGGTACATGATTGGTTGGAAAGCAAGCATAAGGAGTGGACACCGGAGATGTATGAGAGGCTTAAGGAGTCTAGTTCATAATATAGTATAGGATGGGAATATAAAGACTATGCGTCGTATGGAACTAGACAACTATTCTTTTGGGGGGTTGTGTGAAAGAGTAAGCAAATATGTGTGCAGAACCAGTTGAGCAAGGCACATCGCTTTTCGTTTCCTTTTACTAAGAACGAGAAGCGAGGTGGGGCGGAACTCAACTCGATTGAATGTGACCCGTCTGTGAAAGATATGATATCAGTTTAGTCTAGTACCCGTCACTCATCCGTATACTGATAACATAATGGCCAACTCTCCGTATCAAATACCTGCCTTGGCGTCACGGGCACACTCTGTACGTCGAATGGCATGTGATAATCTGCATGCGCGTCAAGGTCATAGAGTGGGTTGCTCATATTGTGCGGGTTTAGGGGTATACCGGAAAAGGCCGCGAAGTTGGACGGGTGGTGGCGTTGCCACTGTACAACTCATGTTAGTAGCGTTGCACTGCATTAGACACATGGAGCGGGAAGTTAGTATAAGTGCGGGGGGCGTACCTTACTCCACAACCGGTCAAGTTGTGCATGATGCAGCCAAAAAAGCGGATCATTAGGTGTGAAGCTGATTCCCATGCCTTGGCAATCCTTCTTCGGGAGGATTTTTGGGCAGTCTCCCGCCAAGTCGCCCCCAACGAAATTGTGTACGTGGTCATGCATTAGTTCCATTGCGTACTGGAATCTGAAGAAATCGCCCGTGGTTTGCTCGGTCGAGTTGCGCACGAACTCCGGGCCAAGCGTGCTGTTTTGAGGCCGCTCATGAGGGTACCAGCCGGTTATAAGCGTCAAATTCCTCCGCAGTGGGTGCGGTATTGGCCAGGAAAGCTCGAAGTTCCCAGTGGACGGGGCAAAAGCGCCAGTGGTAACGGTGCAGTCCGCCTCAGGGGAGGAATCGCAGTCCCCCGTCCCACCCAGCCCGGACTCCGGTGAGTCCTCGAACACTGGCGAGCTGAACAGGTCTGCGTGATCGCGCGACCAGTCCCAGTATGGCGTTGGCCCACTGTACCCGCAAGTGTGGCGGAGGGAGGTGTCGAATAGATAGGTGAACCAGCGGTCTGCTCTCATGTAAGTATGCGCTTTAGGAAAGCAAAGAGGGACGGAACGCACGCCACGGCAAAAAGTAGGCATTTCTATGCGCGCTGTGCTCCACTGATGCGTGCGAGTAAGAGAAGTCGTCGTATAGGCTCCTCTTCCCCTCAAGCACCGTCTGGTTCATCGTCAAAGATAGCCGTTCGTGTCGTATGCTTGCTAAGCACTGCATACTCGGCATAAGCAAAGTACGCGTTACCTATGAGGGAGGAAGGAGGGCACACCTTGACAGCTCCCACCCACTTAGCTTTCTCGCTATTCGTTAACGTCCGCCATTCTTTGCGTGTCAGCAGCTTGCTACACTTTTGTTGTCCCTCGTTCCATTCCTGCGCATATGAGAGGTGGGCGTTGGTAAGGACGGCGAGGATTGCGAGTACGCAAAGGAGCAAAGTCGAACGGCCCATGGCTACAGTTCAGCCAGGAAGGGAATAGAGAGCAGCGAAAGTCGTAGTATTAAATAATAGCCTAAATATTTAGCTTACTATGCATGATTAACCCCGCTCTTCCGCGCTCCCCTTTTGCTAACAGTAAGAAGCAACCCTCCTCACCCACGTCCGTCTTGAAGCTACAAGCACAACGATGCGTACCTCAATCTACCTCTCCCGCTTCCTTGCCCTCCTCTTCTGCATCGTCTTCCCCCTCTACCTCGCCATCCGTGGTTCCGCCTGGAAGTCTGACATCGCATTTCTCCTCTTTGGCCTCCACGAGCGCGCTGCCCTTCACATCAAGACCATATCCCCAATTGCTGCCCCTCTATCACCAATTGTCGCCAAAGCCTTCCAAGCTTTTGGTGAGCCCGCAAAACCCGTACGCGTACCTGAACGCAGGAGAAGGAAGAGATACCCCTCCCTTCCCAATGGACTGGCGCACTGTATCAACTCCTTCGAGCAGTATCCGTTCCTCGCAGAGCAAGTGCTCCAGCGGAAGCATGCGCGGTATTCCAAGCAGACGCCTGCGCAGAAGGCGATAAGCAACCAACTCGGCTATCCTGCACATTTCGAGAAAGCTAGGAAGGGGATTGAAGTGAATGCCCGGTTCTCGGAAAAGATCGCACGGATTGCGAGGGAGGCTTACCATACAGGTCCGCTAGCGTTGGAGGATGTCGAAGACGCGGGATATGGAGGTGTGGACCTGGCGTTTGGGCATCTTTCGCGAGACTGGAGTACGCAGGGCGTAAGGGAGAGGCAGGCCGTGTTTCCGCCTGTTCTAGATGGGCTTGAGCAACATTTTGGCGGGAATGTGAGAGGGACCAAGGTGCTTGTGCCCGGAAGTGGTATGGGCAGGTTGGCAAGTGATATCGCTGATTTAGGTGCGTCCATCTTATTCTATTAAGTTGAAGACCTGACCTCACATCGGCGCAGGATACGACGTCACGGCCAATGAGCTGGACTACGGCTCCATCCTGGCCTATCACCTACTAACGAACCACACGAGCTCGCTGAATCAGCACACCTTGCAGCCCTTTGTGACCAAATGGACGCATCAGGCCAATCCCTCCTCGCGCTACTCCACCGTAACTGTGCCGGACCACTGGCCAAACAAGGCCGTCAAGCTCGTCGAAGGCGACTTCTTGGAGATGTTCCCCGAGGATGGTGAGTTCGACGCTGTCGTCACGCTCTTCTTTATTGACATTTCCGATAATGTGATTGACTTCCTGAGCAACATACATCGGCTGCTAAAGCCTGGTGGGGTGTGGATCAACCTTGGGCGTACGTTGTCCTTCCTTGAACACTAACATTTATATTTCTCTGGTGATCTGTTTATCGCCGAACACGGGCTGACGTGTACTCAGCGCTGAAATGGGGCACCCACACTGCTCTCCAACTCTCCGCGGAGGAAGTGCTCCAGCTGGCAGATACCATCGGGTTTGATGTGGACCATACATCAAGGAAGAGCATCGACAGCCTGTATTCCGAGCAGCCAGATACGTTGCTGAAGTTCACTTATGGTGAGTGCCTGCTATTTTGTGAGGAGCGAGGATGGTTGCTGATGAGACGAGCAGTTACGCAGTTTTGGACCGCGACGAAGAGGGAGTAAAGGGGTAAAACGGAGGTATTGTCTTTTCCAGGCTTTGAGTTATATATTTTGAAAACAAACTACATTGAAACTTTCCAAGACCATAGATGTGTTCTCTATGAAGCCTTGTTCGATAAACGAGTGGTAGTAGAGCCAGTGAAAATCGTCCCTTGAAAACACGGGGTATGCGGGGGAACACTAAAATGGAAAGGGAAAGGTCTCGAGTGCCAGGGGAGATTCTATATTCTCTTTCTATATTTATTCTCTATATTCACTATATTCTCTGTGTTCTCTTTCTCTATACTCTTTATATTTTTTATACTCGTTATATTCGTATTAATATGCTATGAATACATAAACCAGATCTGCGAACCGGTTTGGTCTCATTGCATCATCCCGGCAATGTGCTCCATAGGGAAGAACATCATTGATCTTCCTTTTCCAACCCTCACAGTCAACATGGCTGATTTCTCTCGCCCAACGCGTCGTATTAACTCCGAGGGGAGTCAACGACGGAACTCGACTCTCTCGGACTCGATCTCAGAAGCCCGCAACTCGATCCGCTCATCAACAGACGACTTGTTTCTACCTCGTGTAGCAAAAGACCATGCACTCTCAACTGAAGAATCAAATTGGCATTCTGCACCCCTCGGGCTAGCCCTCCTGCCTGCAATTGCAGGCATTTTCTTCCATGAAGGTAGTTCCTTCGTCACCGACGTCACATTACTAGTCTTGGCCGCGATATTTCTCAACTGGTCTGTCCGGTTGCCTTGGTATATCCCCCAATATGACTCCCTCTATCCAAATCAACCCCAATACCAATCCAATCTAATAGGGATTGGTACCGTTCGGCCCAGGCCATCCGACGAGAAGAAAGTGGATTCCCCGCGCCCGACGATCCCCACGAACACGACCAAGAGCACCAACCCCAACACAAAGAGGCAGCCATCTCCGAGCTCCAAATCCACGAGCTCGCCGCACTAGCCGCCTGCTTCATATTCCCCATAATCGGAACCTGGCTCCTCCACGCCATCCGCTCCAGCCTCTCCCGCCCCTCCGAAGGCCTAGTATCAAATTACAACCTAACAATCTTCCTCCTAGCCTCCGAAGTCCGCCCAGTCGCCCATCTCCTAAGACTAATCCAAAAACGCACCCTACACCTCCAACGCATCATAACCTCAACAGACCTAAACCCAACAACCCTCCAAGACCTAACAAAACGTCTCGAAGAGCTCGAAGCCCACGTCGCCGAAACAGCAACAGCCCGTCTCGCAACGCAAAACCTCTCCCCAAAAGAACAAGATCAACCCGAAACTGCTTCCATCGTCGCACACGCAGCCCTTGAATCCCGTAAATCTATCCAACCAGATATCGAGGCCCTTAATCGCGCTGTTAGACGCTACGAGAAACGGTCCGCCCTCTTCACACTGCAGACTGATCAGCGCTTCGTGCGCCTCGAGACCAAAGCTGCCGATGCGCTTGCGCTGGCTGCTGCTGCGCAGCGGTTGGCGGAGTCGCGGCGTCCGAATTATGCGCTCGTACTGCTGGACTGGGCTTGCGCGTGTATCGTCGTGCCTGCTCAGATTGCGCTGTCGGTTGGTGCTTTGCCTGGGCGTGCGGTCTCGGGGTGCTGGGATGCTGCGAGACATATGTTGATCGGGCGGAAGGTTAGCCCGCAGGCACAGCCGCAGCCGAGATCGAAGTCTAAGTTTGGGTTGAAGGGGAAGGCTGGGGCTGGAGGTGTAGGTGAGGTGGGATCGTCGGGTGCGTATCGACAGGGTGGTGGGATGGCACCGCAGCGGCGGTCTGGGGCGAGGAATGAAGATGGAGTCTGATGGGAATATATATGGAGTTCTTTCTGATTTAATTTTTGACTGAAGATATTTAGTGCGCTGTGAGTATTGGAGAAACGGGCATTGGGTACTGGTCAAACGATCGGTATATTGGCGTTTATGTATAGACTTGAGCGCTTCCGTGGCATGATCTACCATATACCGTAGGATGAGAATATCATCGAATACGAGGTTGCCCAGCCTGTATCATCAATTTTTATGGGCGAGGAAACATGAAGATATAGCATTCGTACAGCATTATACACATTGAGACAACGCCATGCAATCGAGCATTTCAAAGGTCTAAGTCTGAAAGACACTAAAGGAGGACTGCATGGGAAAAGGAATCAAGACCGACCCCCAGATGGGCCTCGATCATCCACCGCAACCATTTTTAAGAATGGCTCAATGATTGATCGCCTTCGCTCTTCAGTTATACGGCGGTCTTTCTCCTTGGGTGGCAGTGGAGCAGAGGCAGAAATAAGGACGCGTGAAAATATAGATGCTAAAGCAGCCTCAACTGCTTGTCGGCGTGCTACCGACGGGTTCTGGCTCGTCGGCTCAGGGCTGGTGCTAGTGGATGTGTCCGTAGAGCGGTTCTTGCGGCGGAAACTGCCGCTTGTTATGAAGGCACTAGCGGAAGCTGGAGTAGGAGATTGAGCTTGATCCGAGCCTGTAATTTCAGGTTGCCTATCTGCCGGCTCCTCGGGTTCGCGCTTTCCTTGTCTGGTTAATGGGACCATCGGGGCAGCGGAGGTTACTGGGGCCACTTCATTGGCGATACGGGCGAGCATGAAAGTGACAAACGTGAATGATACGCTATGTGCTGGTGAGTATGATAGGTGCTCAAGCACCCAGGCCTGGGTTTCTTCCCAGTTTCGAGGAGGTGCTTTGCTCTTCTCGCGCGCGATTATTTGCTGCTCCATGTCTTGCCATACTTTCGCCGTGACAATGCCGTCTTGGAGAGCGTTGAGGAAAGTGAGGAGGGTTTCAGATAGGACCTCTAGCCGGTGGAGAGAGGATACTTCGGGGGTAAAGATTGAGCCAAGGGACTTGTTGGTGTCAAGGGCTTCACGCGCGGAAGTTTGCAGCACAGCACGCTCCTGTGGGTCCTTTAGAGTCCACGTATCAGGCTGGAAGGGCCATGCTCCCCCGGATAGATCCGTTGCCCATGGGGCTTTGTGCTCCTCGGATTCGCCATTTGTCATGCTCCACTCCGCAACAGCGCGCTCTGTCAGCTCGGAGATCGCCTCAGTCAGTCGGAAAAGCTCGCGGGGTGCGGACATGCGAATTTCCGCGGAACCATCCGTGCTGGATGGATGAGGGGTGTCTGATTCGGCCAAACTACGAGCACCTGCTTCTGGCATGCGAGTCAACTCGTCGATACTGCAACCGAAGCAGGTGGGTAGCCAACGGCCGTGAACAGAGACAAAGTGGTCGCGGCCGCCATCGACATGAAGGACCAGGATGTCTTCCAGTTTGACCTTTCCAATATTAAGCAACCGGACGAGCTCGATGCTGCGCACGTAAGCTGTGACATCGACATTTGCTACTTCTCCAGGGAGCAGAGTATGGTTCCCAGGCGAGGAAGTCATCGCCTGGCCAGTTTCATGGGCCGTTTCTCCAGGCTTGGAGACGTGGATAACAAGCCACGATGGTGCTTGTGCAATGGTCTCGTCGTCCACATTATGCCGCTCTGCAAATGAAAAAGTGGCTGCGGTGCCGCTAGTGTTGGCAATCGTTAGCGACCGCTGAGCTGGCACATCGAAGGCAATATCGCCGAATTCGATGGCGTCAGGATCTTTCTCTGAATGCTTTTGGTCGCCATATTTATCCACCACAACAGTGAGATCGGGTCGAGCTTCGTTCTCGGCCTTGTCCAATTCACGGGCCACTTCTTGATGAACTTTTGCTTTGAGTTCGCGATTGACTGCATCGAAACTCAGGGTAAAGATCGCACCCAGAGGCTTGTGGTCCGACGAAAGGATGCCTTGATATGCCACGTAACGGTCCAAATGAATTGGATCGTGGGAAGAGTCCAACGACGCAACTGTGACTGCATCATCATCGGCTTGATCTTCGTCTGATTTGTACTCCTCGCTGTCTGCACCGTCTGCGTCAGGGTCATATTCAAACAAGATATTATCATCGGCAACAGCCTTGTCCAGCCCGCTAGCCTTCATCTCCTCGTCCTTCTTTCGGGCCACCTCCGCTTCCTCGTCGAGCTTTTCATGTCTCAGCTTATCCCGGCGAGTGCGAAAGAGAATCCGATCACACCAGCTAGGACCTCGTTGCTTCTCGCTCGTATCAAACATGGCCACACTCCCGACATCATATTTGTACGTCGGCAAGAATGTGATGTGGCCTTCCCGCCAACCCTTGTGAAAAGCTGCTCCTTTTCTCCGTTGAAGTCCAAGTTGATCGTGTGGGAGGAGTGAGGAAATTGTAGTTTGAAGAGACGCTGGGTCATTATGAGGATCGATCTCTTCGTCATTGACAGGTTCGGTGGCTACCTTCGTCAACTCTTCTTCGGGGGGAGAAGAACAAGGCGATGGGTTGCCAGAATCGGTCGGAGAGTCCTCGGAATGGCTTGATGACTTCTTTGCATGGCGCTCTTTGTCGTACTCATTGGCAGTATGCCGAGCGAGGACTTGGCGCACGTCGTCACCAGAGATATCATCAAGGCGGTAGTTGAGGTCACCAAACCAGAAAGTGAAATCTTCATTTCCAATTGCTTCGCCCGATTCGCCCGACTCGTCAGTCTCGGTCCAAACTGGGTCAAACTTAGCACGCTGGACAATTTGAGAAGAGTCCCAGTTGCGTCGCTCCAAGCTGGCTTTGTCGGACCCTGCCGCGAGATGACAGTTGATAAAGACTAAACGGGTCGTTTCGCCCAGGACAAGGCGCGTTGCCACGGCGCCCTTGTTTCCCATGTACCCCATCAGCCCGGTACCAACAGAGGTACTACTGACAGAAGAAATGCTGGCTCCAATTGCGGGCGATGCATATATCAGAAGCAACAAGCCAACCAGTTGGACTTCAGCGACTAACTGATATCCTTGGGGTAGCGCGTTTTGGACTGCTTCCTTCCACCGCTTGGACGGTGCCAGGTCGACATATGGTCGCAGAGCTTCCGTCGGGGAAGATATATCGACCACTTCTTGCAAACCTAAGACGTAGAGGTCTATCTCTTCGGAACTGTAGTGAAAGGTTCCTTTTTTGGTGCCGTCTGGTTTCTGCTGGTCATGCTTGCTGGACGATTGAGGTTCTGGATCCTGTGCATAGTTCGCCCCAGAGAACCTCTCGCACACCCCGCCTCCTTGAACAAACCACTTTCCAACGTCCTTCTCGGTGCCGGAGATGCCGGCTACGTTCCACGTGCCGACCTTGACTCGGATAGATCGCCGGCGGGTGTACTCGGCTTTCCTTTCTCTGACCGCACGTGAAAGTGACAAGACGTCGAGTTCTGGATTTTTCATTTCTTGGGCGTATTCTGACGCGTGGCCCTTCTGCTCCGTCGGAGACGAGGACGGAGTTGGTGATTTGGTGCTCATGATGTAAGAGTATATAATAACACCCTCTGGTGAGAAAGTTTCTTCGCCTCGTTTGATTATGGTTTGAGGTTCGGTAGGACAGCAGAATGTAGCGTGGTGTATGTATGAGTGTGTGCGCTTGCGCGGTTCTTATTTCCGGCAAGGGAAAATAGGATGTGAGAGTTGTCGCGATATAAGAATGAAGTGACGATGACTACCAATAGAATAAATAAAAAGAATTGAGCGAATCAGTTGTATAATGCGACAATGGCTCGGTCATTTCATCACCTAGGTTCATCCCACCAAGATTTAGAAGGGTCGTATTGTACTGGCGTAGAACATAGGGAACAGGGAGTATGTTTGGGATCGATCATAGAAGGAATCAAATATATGCCAGTATCCAAATATCTCACTTGAGGTGAGGGAAGATGTTCGAGAGTAGAAAGTAGAAAGTAGAGAGAAGCGGATAAGCGCGAAGGCGGAGCAATGACGATATGCCCAAGCTCCTTCCATATCTTGCAAACCTTCCAATTCACACAGAAAACATGACTTCACGTAAACCTCGGAGACAGAACAATCACAATCCTGTCAACCTCACCGATTATGAATCCGACGCCCCATACTACTCCGACATGCAACAACCTGCGCCCCCGCTCCGCTCGAACGAGGAGCTCAACCTCTCCGTTATCCGCCGCCACAAGCCATCAGTGACTTCCATCCTATCACTCGCCCCCTACGCAGTAGTCTACATCTTCAGTCCCACCACAAAACAATGGGAAAAGAACGGAGTTGAAGGAACACTATTTGTGTGCCAGGAAACTCAAGGTGACCTAGGCGAAGAGCGCTACACTGCCTTCGTGCTAAACCGCCGTGGGTTGAACAACTTTGATCTCCCCCTCACCGACGGCGAAAATGTTGAAATTACAGACGATTATGTGATTCTTAAAGCCGAAGAAAGCGCTGAAGGCGAAGCCGGACAGAATGGCATCGCCGACCCTTTGCACCCGCAGAATGTGCCCAACAACCAGAACGGCACGAACAACGTCCGCATCTACGGTCTCTGGATCTACTCAGAGCCGCCGCCAAACTCCACCGCAGAGAGTCGTACCATAAATGCCCAGATGATTCTTGACTGTGCCACCCACGCGGGTGAGAGCATGAAGCTAGCTCGCGAGCGCCTCGAGGCAATGCGTCAGAACAGCTTGCACCTCGCAGCAGCAGCGGCTTCATCAAAGGCTCCCCCGATAGAGGAAATACAGGCTGGTGTGCCTATGGGACGTCAGATCTCCCTAAAGGATCTATTTGGCCAGCAGCGCGCCCAGGATGACGGTTGGAGTGTGCGCGCACACCATCTAGCACCGGAGCAGCAGCAGGCCAACTATCAACAAATGATGCCTCACCAGATGCCATCTCCTACTCCCCCGCCACAGCCTCAATCCGATGTGCTAGGGGATCTATTCCGGAGGGCAGGACTAGCCCAACAGGGAAATGGGCAAGGGCACTAGAAGAGTGCTAAATTGTTTCTTCGGGTTCCTCAATCATTTGTAAATGGCGTCTAGCTTATGATTTATTTCTGCATATTTGAATAGCTTTGGGCTCTTTGTCATTCGGATGGGAATGGGCGTGGCGTAACGTCTCTTGAGATACCCGTTACAATCTGCGCTAATGGCGAAATCATTTGTCTTTAGGTAGTTCCTGTCTATTCCAATGCATAGATTGTAAAAACTGCCTCTCCCTTAGGCCACAATCTGCCTAATCATCCCCGCAACTTCTCGCGCCATCACATCGCTGTGCTCTATAAGATGTCAGCCAGGCTATGTATCATAATAAAATTTATTAAAGGCCACTTACTCAAACAAAAGGCATGCGGCAAGCCTTCTTCACAAACAACCATAGTCGGCCCCGCCTGTCCTCCCTTCTGCCCGCGCATGGCAACAATCTCATCCCTCGTCTGATCAGCTACCCAGTGATCATTACGACCAAAATAGAAAAACAGCTTAGTGATAGGCTCACGAGCCGACGCAGCACCCCAAACATCATCACACCATTTGTCGGAAGTGATAGTCCGCATTTCATCGGCAGCCATATGTCTAGCCAGGCGAAGTAATTAGAAAAGCCAAAACCATAGCCGAAAAAGAACATCACACATACAAAGCTTGCCGTACTCCGCGTGGACTCTTCAAAAAAGAACAGGTAGTGTCCAAAGCATGATCCGGTGGATCACCCATGAAGAGTCGGACCACAGATCGAAGAAGTGATGCCGGAAGTAGGAATGTAAGTAGTCGGGCGAAGAAACTAACCACCACCGCAAGACGAGGAATGATCGAAAGTAGAGTCTAGACAGCCGTGGCCAAGATTAGCACAAAATGCAAATCACGGCATCGGCAAAAGAGACAGAGGGGGTGGGGATTTGGTAAGTACCGTCAATTTCTGTCCTGAAGGCGACGCTGCAATATCCTTAACTGTCGGGAAGAGCATTGCTCCACCGACAATATCGAAAGTGCTTTCTGGCCTCGCTTCGCGGTGCCGTCGTAGAATTTCCATGGCAATATATGCACCAACAGAATGTCCGATCAGGATGACTTTTTGTCTGCTTCCGGAATTCACAGTACTGTTACCGTTGGTTTCGTCTCCCATCAGGGTAGCAAGTTTCCCCTGAACAAAGCAAATCTGATCTTCCAGGCTGAGATCAATGCCATCGTTCGGCGACGGCGACGGTGAAGGCTGGTGGTGTTCGTCGATTTCGAAGCCGCCGAGAGAACAGCCGTAGATTTGAAATGATGGTGGGTTTAGTGAATATTCCTCTTTTGGGTCTTCTAGATACTTTGAGAGTAGAGAGAGGAATGGGTGGTAGTAGCCGATCAGACCCGGGTTGCCGGAGATGAAGAAGATTGTCGTCTTCTGGCCTGATGAACAATCCGTGGTCGTGAGAAATGTGTTTGGGGTAATTTCGGGTGCCATTTTCTGTTCAGTTTGTAGCATTGAATCGGCTGAGCTCTCTCATGTAGGTTTCATCCAGGGTATAGATGGCTACAGGAATGTTAGGTGGTCTGGACTAGGTCAGTAAGTTGGCTAGGTAAAGATGAGGCAATTAAAGGGATATAACTACATGAATTGTGCCCCTTATTTGTGTATTTTTTTCGCGTATATGATGATCCTGGGGTGTTGAATCAAATTGATTGGAATTGACAGGGAGGTGAAGTTGGATTCGGCTGGTGGATCCAAGCACTCTACATCTAGAGCTAGGTGCCCATGCTAGCCTGTCGACCACCAAAAATATAGATATGTTTATAAAGCCAAGAAAAAGTAGGAAAAGATTCACCGAGATGGATATTTGTGGGCTGGATAGATATTTTGATGGTAGGGCAGATACTGTGCAGGCCCCTACGGCACTACAGATTATTCCAACAGGTAAAGACCACCACGAAGATAGCAGGATGTTGCAACGACTCCATCCGCAGATGCAGGCCTCCTTCACTGGTTGATATCTAATTCCGACCGGGAACATAAAAAGAATAGACACCACAAGGCTAGATCCCATGCATTGCCCAGACGCCATGCCATGTACATCAACATTCAGACGCTAGTTTGGACCATAGAAGACAACACCCCCATAAGACCAGGAGAAAAACGGGCGAGTGCCCTTGAAAAATGAAACGGAACAAAAAGAGGGAATCGCCCAAAGAACAGCAAGAGATGAAATGTGGGAAATCCCGCAACCGATTGTGGTATCTAGGTCATGGAACTGGAAACTTAACTCAAGAAAAACGCCTGGTTTATGAGGTATATTCATCCACCCTCGTTACACTGACTGTCGTCGCGATTCTCCTTCTCATAACTCTCACTCGTCACCTCTGTGCGGTTGTCTGTTTCTGAAAATGGAGGATTGGCCGTTGATCCAATGTTGATGGCGATTCTCTTGGGCGCGGCGCTGGTGCCCATGTTTGTTACGCCCGGCGAGGCATTCTTGTCTGCAAGAGAGCCGGCAGACAGGTTCTTTTTCCGATTCATGATAAAGGCGTTAGAATTGCTACTAGTTGAACTTCTTCGTTTGGGTCCCGGTCCGGTAGTAAGCTTGCTAAGCTCATCGTCATCTTCTTCCTCGCGTCGACGCTTCTCCGCAAGTCGTTCTGGTGGAGGGGGGGTCTGGGTGGGCGGTGATGCAGGAATCTCAGTGGAAGTCTCGACTGGACTGACCACTGGCTGTTCTTCTGCCCCTTCCGGTTTGGTGTCCATAATGTCCTCGTCGTCGTCATCTGGGTAGTCAACCAATGGTTTGACGACTGCAGAGGCGGATTCGCTAGGGGGTTCATCTGTAGTTGCCACACGGTCTTGTGTCCACTTTATCTTGTCTTGTCAGTCGTTTACTTCACTATCTCAATCCAAAAGATACCCACCTCATCTTCATCGTCAGACGTGTTGAAATAATCTTCTTCTGCCGGGTCCATCTCTCTTGCGCCCTGCCAGCGCTGGCCATTGAGAGGAATTCTCCGTGGGGCGTTAGTGTCATCCTGACTGAAGAGTGTCGCATCGGCCTCCGCTCCGTATCCCTGCATCTGATCATATCGCAGAATCAGGCTCTGGAAAGTATCGACATAAACGATGTTCTCGAGCTTCTCGCGATATTTTTCGACCACATGGAGGATAAAAGGCTTGATGTTTTCCCGCTTGATAAATTCGAAAAGTTCAAGACAGGCCGAGTTGAGAAGGTTGTCGCGGGGCATTGTCTCATAGACGATATCGAGAATCAACTCAAAGGTGTTATTGTGTGTCATGAGAGCTTGGTAGAATGTATCTTGGAGGCTGATCAAGGTACGGAAGAATTTAAGGGCGACTTGTCGGTATTAGCTATGGTATCTCGCTAAAAAGAAAAGCTGTATACTCACCGAGTTTGAGGTGTTTCTGGGGTACCCGCAGAAGCTGCGCAACGCGGGGCGCGAGGGATTCACTCTGGATAGAGTTACGTGTGCGGAAAAGATGTTGGCGAACAAAGAAGGTGAGGATATCAACAAGATGCGAGTAGAGGGTTACCTCTTGGAATGTCAAATCATTAACTAGACTCAAAGTTAGCAAAGTCTTCATCAGCAAAGGATCTCACCACTTACGGGATGTGCGATTTGCAAGCTGTTTAAGCGGTTGGAAAAGCCTTTTTGAGGATTCATCGAAATGTTGCTGGACAAATGCATCAGAGAGAAGGTTGTTGGTGCGGACTTTGAAGTAATCGGGTCCAGCCCGACCAAGCGGATCCTGCATAGGAATCTGAGGATCAAGGAGAACCTTGATAGCATCAGCAATTTGGTTCTTGACACCAAGATCGGTCTCCACATGAAGAAGGTCGATCAAGGTGTCTGTAAGTGGTGTCTTTTTCTCGTTGACAGCCTTGAGCATATAACCTCTCATCATGACTGGATCATGATCCAATAGAGCCACCAAAATATCAATTCCAGTTGTGCGCATGGCTGGGTTCAAGTGCTTAACGGCAAATGCTATCACAGCAAACAAGCCATGGCTAATGAAGTTGGCGAATAATTGGGCCCGCGAAGGTGCCTGCAAGTTCTTCGCGATGCCAGCACACTGGTGAAGAAACTGTACGGCGTCATCTTTGCGCCTATGGTCGGGATTTCTCGGGTCGAAGACTTGAAACAGGTCTCGCAGGAACGGCGCATTTGCTTGGATGTGATTCACAATCTCCATTTGATTGAAGAATATGAGGGAATTGAGCACCGAAAATGTCGGGTCGTCCAAAATCCGAGCCAGCACCACATCCTTTAGATATTGCAACCTCCATGTACTCCGAATCTTGCGGCGAATGAGCGCATCCTTAATCGGGACAACTTCCTTATATCGCGATTTATCTGAGAGGTACTGGCGGTGGTTTGCCTTGTGTGTGGGGAATTCAGGGTCATCTGTTGTCATCAGTATCAAGTGAATTGGGCCCTGGATCAGGGTGAAGCTTAGTAGAACATACATTCCAGCGCCCCGACCACTCCGAGGATGACATGATCGGAGACGACGGTTTCGATGATGGTGTTGTCGTTGAGCAGAATGAGAGATTTCATAATGTTGCACAAGCGATGCAAATCGATTAAGCTCTCCAAATCCTCGGCTGTTTCCACAAGCGGTACCAATTTGGCGATGTATTCGTCGCGAATGACGTACTTAGATAGCGCATCTCGACCGTTCTGTGTCATGCTCGCAGCTCGTACAATTTGTTCAATTTCAGGGAGGTTTCCGAGTTCGGGGGGTGGTAATACAATAGACTGGTAGCTATCGAGGTCGTCGGATAAGGCGTCATCTGGAGAAAGAATTAGAGCTGCCAGCTTCCAAACACACGACAAACCTTACCTGCTGAATTGAGACTCAAGAGATGCTGTTGAACGGCACTGACAAAATCCCTTTGAATAGGTTAGTTCATGCGCGCAAATAATTTTATTGATTCCTCACCAAATGACCGCACAACCTTCCGCCTCTTGGAAGCTGAGCGCCATATCCGTGCCATTCTGTTCTGTCCAAACAATCAAAGTCTCTGGATTGCGTGATACAGTTAGTAAAAACAGGACACCAAACAGCGATGATACGATAATGGTGGGATAGGTACCCTGTTGTTTTTGATAGCCATCGTCCTTGGTGATCCGCGTTTCGAGCAGGACGCGATTGGGCAGGTCTTCGGATTCGACAAAGATGCGGGGCTCCTCCTATTGTAAAACGATTAGTTACTGATGATGATAGTGATGCGCTCGGGATTGCGCGCGATGAAACATCGTCGCACCCCCAGTGCGCGCACAACACGCGACAACTCACTCCTAAGATCTGACCGGTACAGAAGCCGGTTCCTCGGTCAAACCAATCATTATCCTTTAGTTCATAGACCTTCACTCGTTTGCGACCATCGGGCGGCTGTATTTCCAGCGCCATGATCCGGCAGGAACAGGGAACGGCGTCTCGTCACCCCGGGCCTGATAAAAGTGGACCGGCGCGAGAGGAGAGCCAAAGGGCGGTGGGGGAAAAATAAAATTAAAAAGTCGGAGGATTGTGTAAAGCCTCGTTCGGAAAAGGTTTCAAAGGGACGAAAAGAGGGAATGGAGGTGGAGATCGCAATGATGAAAGAGTCTGCGGAGGGGATGACGATCGGGGAATAGACCTGGTCCACCTGATGGCCTCGGCAGGTACTTGGAGTTTTTTTTTTTTTTTTGGTTTCCCCTTGGACACAGGTCAGAAAAAAAAAAGCTTCTTTTAGAAGATATAAAGAAAAGGGAACCTTTTGGATCTTCTAGAATTCCTTATCTTTATTTTATCCCTATTTCATGTCTATCTCTCCTTGAGGTACCTAAGGTACCTAAAGTACCTATAACAACTTCAGGCTATATAAGTACCTGAAACTAGGTACCTATGTATATTGTGCAAGACACAAATACATTATATTACTAGGAATGCAGCTTATGCTAAAATTTAGACTACTTCATCTTCGTCATTCTGGTGTTCTTCCGGGATCGGCAAAGCTCTGGAATCCATCAATGTTCTCTCAGGGGTTAAGAATGGAGTCTATAAAGGTATGTCATAAAAGGTATTTATAGCAGCTCTAACTTGTGTACTCTCTGTACTCAGTGCAACATACAATGGAAATCCAATATAATTTAAGATTCATCTATCAATCTATAAATCTATAAATATTCTCTGCAAGGTCAACTGAACGCATGGATCTCCACATAATCACAAGCTATGGAGGGGTACACGGGAAGTACTTCCCGTTAGGCTGGTAGCCTAGCTTTCTCTGTAAGTATCCGCCAAGTACCAGTCCGCCTTCCTTCAAATTGCTGACATAAAAGACCAGATGGACGGCTCTGTCCGCAGCACAGACCCTCACCGCCCCCACTATCCCCATGTTGATTGGCTATTAGTAACATGGAAGATTCTTATCGAAGATTGTCCCGATTAGGAAAGGTTCCAGACGCCTTTTCTCT